ACAAAGGACGACAAAGTAGGTGGCTCAAACAACAGAAACTATTGTCTCAGGGTTCTGAAACACAGAGTTTGAAATCAAGGTCTTGGCAGATTTAGTTCTTTCTGAGGCTGCGAGGGAGAATCTGTACCAGGCCCCTAGCTTCTGGCCGTTGCTGACAATATTTGGCAATCCTCGGCTTGTAGATCTCTGCCTTCATCTTCCCGTGGCCTTCCCCCTGTGTGCCTGACTGTGTCCAAATTTTCCTTTTTTATAAGGACACCAGTCACATTGGATTAGGGCCCCCCCTAATGACCTCATCTTTACTAATGACATCAGCAACAAGGCTTCTTCTATTTAAGGTCACGTTCTGAGGTACTAGGGGTTAGGATGTCAACATATGAATTTGGGGAGGACACAATTCAACCAATAACACTCACCCTCTACATCTGGCTTCCGGATGCTGGGGTCTCCCCGCCACCGCCCGCGGCTCCCTGCCAGGCTCGGCCACCAGGGGGCACTAGAGAGCTTGCAGGGCTGCAGAAGGGGAAGGAGCCCCGGCTCCCTAGCTGCTCCGGGCTCCCCACCATCACAGGAAGTCTTCTTCGCTGGTGGTGGCAGCTTCATACGCTTCTGGGATACTTCACCTTTTCCTTTACCAGAGCTTTATTTTAATTCTTTACAGTAAATCCTCCCTGGTCCAATAGCTGCTGTGGTTTCTGCCTCCTGAATGAACACTTTCACACAACGCAAACCACAGTTCTTGGCGTTCGGCCCGCCTACTCCCAACAGCCACACCCCACCTCTTGGGATTGCCGGATGGGAGCAGAGCAGGGGTGCTACCACTGGAGAATCCCCCAAGCTCTGCTCCTGTCCCTGGGCCCTGGGCAGCACCCCATCCCCTCTCTAGGTCCAGCCACTCACACCGCCCCCACCACCACCCATCCAGCCCTACAGCCCCAGCTGCACACCGTGGGCCTTTCTGTCTTTGAAGGATGTGGCCACTTCTGTGCTCAGCCAGCCCTGAGAACATCTGCTAGAGAACCCATAAGCCCGCCCTGGGAACAAGAAGGCTCGCCTGCCCTCTTGGCTAAGAGATGGGAAGATGCCTCTCGGCCTTTGAGTCGGCTACCACATAAAGAGTGAAGAAAGAAGGTAATATCCACACAACTGCTTTACCACACAAAGAGGCCGAGACTTACCTAAAGCACACTGATACAACCCTTTAGCATACTGATTTGGGAACCCTAAATGTGAGACAGTATCAGCTTTAGGAGCTGGGTGGATGTAGGTCCCCATGGTGGGGGTGGGGGGTGGAGGAACTTCCCTTCCCTTCTCTCCCTGCCCCATCCTACCCACCCCCACCCTCAGCCTTTCTTCTGGAACAGGGGCTTTCAAGCTGAAGATTGCAAAATCAATTTAGTGCATAACAATTAGCAGTTTTTCAAATTACAAAATAAAGTAGAAAATTGCAGAGTACATCAAAATCTAAAATAAAAATTGTCCCAAAGCTGGTCTAGGGAAAATCTTTTATTTTTTGCTTTTAGCTGATGTAATTCTGTCTCTTTTTAGGAAAAAAAATAGCATGCATGATAAAATGCTTAAGCAATGTTTAGATAAATTTTAATAGCATTAAGATTTGTTCTGGGAAATTAGTTACCCACTCACCCAGCCAGGTGTCTTCAGTCAGGAGCCCAGTGACCAAACAATGGCTGACAGTTCTTTTTCTCTAAAACGTTCCTTTCAAGAGGGGATCTGTGAATTGGTGCACCAGGGGCCTTTTTCTTGGCTTGCAAGGTTGCAGTCATACTTTTCCATGTGCTAACTAATGCAACAGAAAAGTATTCTTCAGCAGCATAAAGTAAGGGTAGGTATTGTTTCAGGAAAGTTGTATTCAAGCCCCTCCGGCCAGCCACCAGCCGACACAAGCCTGCAGGCCTGCCCTGAGCCCCCAGCCATCCGCCACGAGGAGGAGGGAAGCAGTTCTTGTCAGGTTTGGATTCTGAGGGCCCACGGAAAATGAGGATCAGTTCTGGAGTGGTTGCCGTTTCTGAGAAGGAATCAGAAGCAGAGGGGAGGGGCGTCTGGGTGGCTCAGTTGGTTAAACCGCTGCCTTCAGCTCAGGTCATGATCCCAGGGTCCTGGGATTGAGCCCCACATCGGGCTCCCTGCTCAGCGGGAAGCCTGATTCTCCCTCTGCCTGCCGCTCCCCCTGCTTGGGTTCTCTCCCTCTCTCTCTCCCCCTCTCTCTCTCTCGCTATCTCTCTCTGTGTGTCAAATAAATAAATAAATAAAATCTTTAGGGCGCCTGGGTGGCTCAGTTGGTTAAGCGACTGCCTTCGGCTCAGGTCATGATCCTGGGGTCCCGGGATGGAGTCCCACATCGGGCTCCCTGCTCAGCGGGGGGTCTGCTCCTCCCTCCTCTCATGTGCTCTCTCTCTCTCTCTCATTCTCTCTCTCAAATAAATAAATAAATAAATCTTAAAAAAAAAAAGAAGCAGAGGGGACTGCCTAGGGATGGGGGATTGTCACTAGGTGAGCAGCTTAGCACCAGGGCACCCCCACTAATCGCTGGGAATTGCAAAGTCTGTCTAGGGGTACCACTGATAAGAAAGAAGCAGTCGCTGAGAGGGGGCTGTCATGCTCTCTTATAACTGCCACATGTCCTTGGGAGGGAAGCCTGTTTTCTGCTAGCCTTGCTGTAGGCTCCGGGTCTAGCCTGACTGATTGTTGGGCTGTTGTTTTCTATTTCAGTCTGAGTTGATTTTTCTTCTTTCAGTCCCAAATAGGTCTTTCCTTTCCTTTTCTTTTTTTTTTTTTTTAAAGATTTTATTTATTTGAGAGAGAGAGTGCAAAATCAGGGGGAGAGGGAGAGGGAGAAGCAGGCTCCCAGACTCGATCCCAGGACCCCAGGATCACGACCTGAGCCGAAGGCAGACACTTAACCGATGTGGCCCCCCAGGCGCTCCAGGTCTTTCCTTTTTCGGTTGCACTTATAAATACAGATCTGTGTGTACCCAGTCTTGATATAAAATGTATTTCTTACTGTGGGTCAAGGTTAATAAAAAGCCACCATCTGGCAAATGGCTTCCTAATCTTTTCAGTGTTGTGGCACACATCAAAGGTGATTCTTTGTTCAGTACAAATGGTATTTGTTCTGCTCACTGGGGCAAATACGTGATGCTTCCTGGGGCTTCAGAGGTGACTGGGCACTGGCTGTCCTGGGTGAAAGAAGCAGTATGTCAGGCCTACTCGGGCTCCTGCTTAGCACACCACTCAAGAAGCTTCCCTCTGGAGAATAGGAACTATTACAGTTCAGCGAAAAGTGATCATTTCTGGAAACACAAAGAGCCTATGTGGACTCCAAGGCAGGAGAGGTCTGAGGTCTGAGGTCTGAGCCCTGGGCCCAGATGGGGCACTTTGCTGCTGACTTGGTTCAGTAATGAACTGCCCTTGAGCCCCTCAGCGTGGGTCCTGGAAACCACTGGCCCCCTTCACAGCTGGGAGTGACTCTAACAATGTGTTCACATGGTCATATATTTTAATTTTGTTATTATTTTTTTTTAAGATTTTCTTTTTTTAAAAAGATTTTATTTTTGGGCGCCTGGGTGGCTCAGACCGTTAAGCGTCTGCCTTCGGCTCAGGTCATGATTCCAGGGTCCTGGGATGGAGTCCCCCATCGGGCTCCCTGCTCAGCGGGAAGCCTGCTTCTCCCTCTGCCTCTCTCTTTCTCTCTCTCTCATGAATAAATAAATTTTAAAAATCTTTAAAAAAAATAAAAGATTTTATTTTTAAGTAATCTCCACACCCGACGTGGGGCTCAAACTCACAACCCCGAGACCAAGAGCTGCGTGCTCTACTGACTAAGCCAGCCAGGTTTCCCACAGTTATGTTTTTATTAAACTTGCAAAAATTGGACATTGAAGCTGGAACCAACTGAGCCTGCTAGCTCTTCTCCATTCTGACTTCCTTTTCAACACATTTCCTCTCCTGTCAGGAGGCGTAAATGTGGCCACAGCTGTGTATACTGTGTATTCGTGATTGTGTATTTTAGTTCTGAACAAAGCCTCCAAAAGCTGCAATAGCCTCTGCCACCGATGATGGAGTTGCGCAAAGGGGTGGGGGTGGGACTGGACTGTTTCCCCACCCTCCCTTTTATGGTCCTCAAAGCAATCATTCTTACATAACCTTTACTGGGTGGATTTGTGCTTTCTTTTTGAAATGTGTTAATAATATCTAGAATGTGCACAGTAAACAAACAGTATGAGGAAGTATACAGTAGATGGAGCCACCAGCCCACCCCAATTCCCAGACCCACGTCTCGATGGGATAACGCCAAAAACAACCTCTGGTGGCTCTTTCCAGAAATTTTATATCTAGATCTAGATCCTAATTTTAATATAAGGAAATTTTTTGGTTTTTGTTTTTTTGCAGAAGCATATTCATACACCTGTTTGTACTTAACAGACTGGTACTCTTTCTGTATCTGCACATAGAATTTGCCTTCATTTTTTTTTTTTTTTAAACGAGGGCATAGACTTCATGTGCCAAAATTAATTTAACTACTGGGGCAGATCTTATCATGTCCATTCATTGCACTTGTCTTGCAGGGTCCCACCTGCTTGTGCTTAAGACTTCACAGGAGGCTGTTACATATCTCAATCTTTCTGGGTTTTGATTCTTCACCTAGGAAATCTCTTTCAAGAGATAAGTCAAGCAGGTAAGTCCCCATCTTGGCCATCACGTGTCAGGGAGTCAGCTGTCTGCTTAAACTCAAACTCTGATCCCTTAAGATTAAGGATGCACCAGCCCCACCACGTGGGGAGTGACACCCCTCCTTCCTCCCCCCCTCAAAGATCCGCATCGGAGATGGGGTTAGTTTATACAATAACTACAGCTGCCCAGGGGCGCCGCCCAGTGCTGGGTCCCAAACTGAAATGAGTCAGCTCTATTTTGTGAGTCATATAATGAGGCTGCAGGTCTCGCCTTGTGCCTAGTTCCATTGAATTACTGCGAGTCTTGTTTAAATCTTCCAGCTGGGACGCTGCAGGGCGGGCCGGACTGAAAGCCAGAATGTTCTAGAGGGAGCAGCGCCACCGCGAGGCCAGCTGCGGTGGAGGCGGCCGGAAGGTGGGGGCGCTCCCGACCCAACAATGGGTTTGGTGGAGGCGTCAGATCGGGGCACCGGGTTCCCCTCCCCACACGGACATTCTCATCCCCAACCTCGGAGGGTCTGGGTCTGACTTCATGACACGGACATAAGTTTTTTCTGACTCCTCTCTGCCAGCCCGCCAGCCCATCAGCCCACCACGTCCTGGAGCCGGGCCTTGCACTCATCTACGAGGCTACAGTGACTACCGAATCCAGGGCAAAGTCACAGACTCAGGGCTCCGCAAACGCTCTTTGAGCGAATAAAGACGCCCCAGCAAGTGACTGTTCACTATTCCCCACACCCGGTTTGGATTACCACCCTCATTCTGTGAGTATGCACTTTTGTGCTCAGGGCCTCTACGATTAATTCCCCTGTGGCGTGTCCAACTGTTTATTCCTGTCCCTTTGAGGACGGGATGGGCAGTGGGGAATGCGCAGGCCCATTAGTTATGCGATTAGGGGAGTCAATCCGGGCCTACGGTCTGGAAGACTACGAGTTCCAGAATGCATCCTTCAACGAGCGTAGGGAAAAGCCGATTGAGGGAGAATTGCCTTTGGGGAATTGTAGTCTTCAGCTTGTTTGTGATGCAGGCGGAACTCGGGGCGGGGGGGGAGCGAGTATACTATTACCACGTGACGCTCGAGATCAGGTGGTTGGGCCAGGTTCCACGCAAGAGCTGTGATTGGCTGACTCTAATACGAACGACGCCACTAGGGGCGGGCCCTAGAGGGGCGCAAGCGCACTGCGTTGGGAGTCTCGGGACCCTTTTCCGAGAGACTATGGCGCTCAACAAGAATCACTCGGAGGGCGGCGGAGTGATCGTCAACAACACCGAGAGGTGAAAACACTGCGGGAGGATCCTGGAGGAGGGAAGGGCGGGCGTGGGCGGTGGGCCGGTGGGCGGTCGGGGATAAACCCGTGAACAGGCTAAACTGTCGGGGTGCGGTTTGGGAGGGGTAACGGCTGGAGGCGGGGCCGGAGGCAGAGGGTGGGTCGCGGAGGAGCGGCTGGGATGTCGCGATTAGCCGTGGGACGGGGGGGTGAGGCGGCTGGAGGGGGACGGGGCTTGGGGAGACAGGTGGGGCCCCGGGGTCGATGACTTCAAGAGGTGGGAAGAGCGTTAGATAAAAAATAATTGCCACTTTTTGAGGGGTTACTACGTTAACTACGTGCCAGGCCGTGCTCCTCTTCTACTTTAATATGTTTAAAGTGCGGCGCGGCGGGTCATACTCTTCAACGCATTTTACAAGTAGGGAAACTGAGGCACGGAGCGGCTTAAGTAACCTGCCTGAGCTCACAGAGCTGTAAGTAACACAGATGGGGGATTCCAGGACAGGCGTCTTTACTCCCAAGTCAGTAGGCGTAACTACAGTACATAACCTTCCCGTGTATTCCAGAACTGCTGGGTTTCCAGATGAGAAACTGAGGCCCAGAGGTGCAGTGAAGTAGCTGTTTTTCAGATGAACACATTTCCTGGCACGGTGTCCATCCTTGCGTCTTTCTCTTGAATGCCCGTTGACTTAGGTCACTTCCCAGAGCAGAGGTCTTCCAGCTGCTATCTTTCTTCCCCACCCCCTGACCCCCCCAATCAGTTGTGTCCTCTCTTCTGTCTCGGGACTTCTCAGGGGCTTCTCTCTTGCTCCTTGGGCACAGGGAATTAAACCATCTAGCCTTGGTTGAGCTACGCTGACCCTGAAATGCCTCTTGAAGGCAGAAGGCTTATGAGGAGTCTGAGTCCCCGGGAGAGACTTGATGGGATCAGAGCCTTATAGCCTGCCAGGGCCAGCACCCAGGAATGCTTGATGAGTCAGGAGAAAGCCTGGGATGCCCCTGGCCTCCGAATGCTGGCGTTCCCTCAATCTTACCTGCTCAGGGTCTGCTGGACCAGCCTGTTCCTGGTATGACCTCTTTTTTCTGAGCTCTACTTCCTAAATATGTATATGTATTTTTTAAGATTTATTTTAGAGAGAGAGAGAGGGCCCATGTGAGCTCAGGGGGTAGGAGCAGAGGGAGAGGAAGAGAGAGAATCCACAAGCAGACTCCCATGCGGGGCTCAGTCCCAGGACCCTGATGAGATCATGACCTGAGCAGAAACCAAGGGTTGGCCACCTAACCGACTGAGCCGCCCAGGTGCCCCTCTGAGCTGTACTTCTCTTTTCTGGTACCGGTCCTCTTCCCCACTTACCTTCCCCAGTGAAGAAAGCTGTGATACTTGGGAGAGGAGGAAGACAAATGGAACCATGTGAACTTGGACCTTGTTGTCTTATAATCAGAGAAACCTCACGTTGTTCCCGGTTTGTCTCTCTGGGTACGAGCCAGTCCCGGGCCTGGAGAAACACTTTTGATGCCATTTGGTAACATCTCCTGGGACTCTTTTTCTTTCTTTCTCAGTGGGACTTTGTGGGACAAGAATGTATCTGTCCTGGTGAGCCTCCTACCTGACTTCGGGCTCTGTGCTGCTGAATAATGGTGTGCCTTGTTTTAGAAAATGCTTCAGCCTCATTTCTGAAAAAAATTGTGCGTACGGCAACTGGAGTTTAGATTAGTGTTTAAGGGCGCCTGGGTGGCCCAGTTGGTTAAGCGACTGCCTTCGGCTCAGGTCATGATCCTGGAGTCCTGGGATCGAGTCCTGCATCGGGCTCCCTGCTCGGCGGGGAGTCTGCTTCTCCCCCTGACCCTCTTCCCTCTCGTGCTCTCTATCTCTCATTTTCTCTCTCTCAAATAAATAAATAAAAATAAAATCTTTAAAAAAAATAAATTAGTGTTTAAAATTTCATGTGTAAAATAGTGAGCCTTATTCTTCAAGTGATGAATCCCTTTGAGAGTGATGAAAGCCACAGATTCTTCCGGAAAAATGCACGGAGACCATCATCTCAAGGGCTTCATGGACTCACACCCCTGCAGACCCAGTTTAGGAGCCTAGGTTTAAAGGAACCGTGACATCAGCCCTTTGGTAATGCGTAGAGTCATGCCTTAGAGGGTTTATATATCAGTACTAATAAACCGATGAAAACAGACACCTATTATAGGGTCCCAGAAGAAAATGGGAGAGCTAACCCAGGTAGTCTAATGTGATTTGAGGGATGACGGTGTTACAGCTTTAATGCCCTTGGCTCTTCTGCTGTGGTCACCTGGGGGGTCTGTATGTGGGGCTTGGGGAAATTCTGTAGACCCCCACCTTGCTCATCTCTTCCGAGGCTGTATTAATGGTTTCCTTCCAGTGGTGTCCAAAGAGGTTTGAGACCCGACGTGCTGGACACCTGCTTCCCAGGGGGTGGGGGGTGGGGGGACGGGGGTTGTCAGTCCCTGGGGAAAGCAGGTCATGGCTCCGAACTGGCTCATCAGGGTCTGTCCTCGTTTCTCATCACAGCATCCTGATGACTTATGATCATGTGGAACTTACATTCAGTGACATGAAGAACGTGCCCGAGGCCTTCAAAGGGACCAAGAAAGGCACCGTCTACCTTACCCCGTACCGGGTGAGTCACACCGTGTGATGGTTTGAAAGCTTGTGGTTCCTGGTGGCTGATGGTGAGTGTTAGGTCAGCCTCGGCCTCATGAGCCCAGTAGCCTCTGAACCTGGTGAACGTTAGTTCCTCGCTCACATGTTTCTGTCATATGCTCCTGGGTTCTAGAACCACCAGACTCTCTGGGCAGCTGAACCGACCGCTAGGCATTGAATCCATGCAGACTCCGGAACGGTTGCTGTGAAATCTGTATGTTGTTGGGTGCCGCTGCCCGGATGAGTTGGGCCTGGAGTGGGGAGGCTGTTACGATTTTGATTTCTGTAAGCGCAGTGCACGAGGCCTTCGTGCACGTCCAGAGGGACAAATGTGGTAAACAGGATACAGTAACATGGCCAGAGCCTCCAGGCTGGGCAGACAGCCTGGTACAGCCCTGCAGAGCCAGGAGTGCCAGACTGCAGCATGGGCCTTGCCTGAGAATGACCCAGGCCGACGGGAGCCTTCCAGAGAAAGACAAATGGCCATTCTTGGAAAAGGTTCACTGCCCATAACTACCAAGAGTTAGATTTAAAGATGGTTGGAAGAAAGGGGCATATCTTCAAGTTTTCATCACCGACACTTAGCAGAGACAAGGGAGCCTCACAACCCCTCTTCTGGTGGCATCTTCAGTCCCAGATCGAAGGGTTTAAAAGAGGGTTTTCCGGGGTGCCTGGGTGGCTCAGTTGGTTAAGCGACTGCCTTCGGCTCAGGTCATGATCCTGGAGTCCTGGGATCAAGTCCCACGTCGGGCTCCCAGCTCAGCGGGGAGTCTGCTTCTCCCTCTGACCCTCTCCCCTCTCATGCTATTTCTCTCTCTCTCTCTCTTCCTCAAATAAATAAAATCTTTAAAAGAATAAGATAAAAGAGGGTTTTCCAGGTGTGGGGTGGGACACTTGCTGTGTGCGCAGCCCCTTCTCCCGGGATCCAGCACCTCCTCCCCTCCTTCACTCTCCTTTCTGTGAAGCTCGGGCTACGCCTCCCCCTTCTGGAAGCCAGAATTCCCTCCCCCCTGCCTCCCTGCCCTAGCTTTGCAGCCCCCTTCACTTGCCCACCACATCCACCACTTAAATGGCAGAGCAGCCTGTCCCTCTCACGTGCCCTGTGAGCAGCACGTTTTCCTCGTGAACACCCACATTAAGCCTCTCCAGCCAGGCTGCACGGAGAGCCTTTCACTTTTTTTTTTTTTAGTAAATATTTTATTTATTTATTTGACACAGAGAGACACAGCAAGAGAGGGAACACAAGCAGGAGGAGTGGGAGAGGGAGAAGCAGGCTCCACGCTGAGCAGGGAGCCCGATGCGGGGCTCGATCCCAGGACCCCGGGATCATGACCTGAGCCGAAGGCAGACGCTTAATGACTGAGCCACCCAGGCGCCCCAAGCCTTTCACTTTCAAAGCTCTTTCCAGGAGCTTCTGGTGCAGAGCTTGCCCTGGTGCCGCGGGGCCCTGGCCCTGGGAGCAGACTCCTCACACACAGGAAGTGATAGAGCAGGCCGGGCTGTGGTATGGGCACTGATGACTCTTATCCTGTCTCCCTGCAGGTCATCTTTCTGTCCAAAGGCAAGGATGCCATGCAGTCCTTCATGATGCCGTTTTATCTGATGAAGGACTGTGAGATCAAGCAGCCCGTGTTTGGAGCAAATTACATCAAAGGAACGGTGCAGGCTGAAGCAGGAGGTGGGTGATGGGGGCTCAGGGACACAGACGGGCTTCCAGAGAGGTGCTCTGGCCACGCCTCTGCTGTCTTGGAGACGTTCCTCTTCGGCTGTCTTAATCGCCCCCTAGCCTTGTTCTCTTCCTGGCTCTGGATTAGCTTCCAGGGCCGCCCACCTGGGCTGCCAGCTGTTGAGCAGAAGTGGGCTTTTAATGACGAGAGCTGGGAGAGGCGAAGATAGCAGCTCCGATCAGCTTTTCAGGGTGAAATCGACCAAATGACTGAAAAATAAGTAAAAATGCTTATCATGACCTGGGGAATGTGTTCACATTTTAGGTATGGGAAGACCTGCATCAGGGCTTGGGAATGGCCTTTTCCCTACAGCCAGGAAGAGCCAGCTGCCCCCACCCCACCCCCCCACCCCCCGCCAAGAGGCCCTGCTGGGTGGCGGGGTTTTTTGCAGACACCAGAGACCTCTGTGTTGAACTTGGCCTCCCCCTCACACCCAACCAGGTTGAGTCTTGCTCTCTAGGGGCTCACAGTTCCCCTTAGGCAGAAGCCAGGCTAGAGGGGCCAGAGGTCCATCCTTAGGCCCCTCAGGAGGAGGGATCTGCTCTGAACTTGAATGTCCCTTGTTGCTGAAGGAACGTGCTCCGGGAACCTGCTTCATTGAGGAGTGGGGGGTTCTAGTGCTGATGAACTTCCACGGCTGGGGATGGGATAACTTAAGAAGCTTGTTCCAAGAAAGAAAGTCCCCTGTTCCAAAGAGTGCTCTGTGGCCTCGCTGTGTGGGCAGCGCACCGAAAGCAGCTGGGCAGGAAGGCGGGCACTGCAGAGCCAGCCCTCTCCCCACGGGCGCTGGACAGAGACCTGGAGAGAACAGAGAGCCATCTCTTCCGGTGTAGCCTGGGTTCTTTTCCTGAGCTGTTGATGTCCTGTTCCCTTCCCAGGTGGCTGGGAAGGCTCTGCGTCATACAAGTTGACCTTTACGGCAGGGGGCGCCATCGAGTTTGGACAGCGGATGCTACAGGTGGTATCTCAAGGTATCGAGGCTCTGAGAGCTCGGGGTGAAGACATATTGAAATGTGTGGGTTCTAATTTGTTCGTTTGAGTTTGTTTACTTTTTGTTTTGTTTTTTAAGCACTGAAGAGAGAAGTCTCTGGGCCCCAGGCCGACCTGGGACTGGGAATTGGGAAGGAAACTTGTCATTAGCATCACTCTGGCCTGTACCTCAAAGGCTGGGTTTACCCGGCCTGGAGCCTGTATAGGACATTGGGACAAAGCTCTTTGAACTCCAGGACGTTTAACTATGGCCCCGTAAAAATGAACAAGAAACCTGGCCATTAAGCTACCAAACAACAGACAGTTTAAATCACCAAGGGTTGTGTTCAGCAGACGTCCTCACACGGTCCCCACCTCCCCCCAGCTCCCATCTGGGACCCTGTCCCCAAGCCTCCCTCTTTCTCACTGTCCGTCCGTCCACCCCTGTCTGGACCTCCCCTGCCCTGGCCTCTCTCCCCATCCAGATCCCTCACTTCCTCCCTGACTGAGGCTGGCTCAAGCGTGGGTGGGGAGTGGAATGGGGCGGGGTAAGGCATGTCTGCTGTGCACATTCCTGGGACCCTGCAGCTCCCCTCGGTAGGCGACACTCATTTCTCTCTCCCCTTGTACTTATAGCCTCCCGAGGCGAAGCCCCCAATGGAGCCTATGGGTATTCTCACATGCCCAGCGGGGCCTATGTCTTTCCCCCGCCCGTCGCCAATGGAATGTACCCCTGCCCTCCTGGCTACCCCTATCCACCGCCCCCACCTGGTGAGTGTGTCCTTTGCTGCCCACCCCTCACCCCACCCACCCGCTAACCACCCCACCCAGGTCAGGGGGTTGTTGAGGGGAGACTTGTTCTTTGAGCTGCTTCAGGACTAACAGAGGAGCTGGAGAGGCCCGGGAGGTGCCAGCTGAGGGAGCCAGGGCTAGGCTGCTCACTGGGTCCCTTTTACTCTCTTGCTGAGCAGAGTTCTATCCAGGACCTCCCATGATGGACGGGGCCATGGGATATGTGCAGCCTCCACCACCACCCTATCCTGGGCCCATGGAACCTCCAGTCAGCGGCCCTGATGTCCCCTCCACTCCTGCAGGTGAGACCCTGGGCTGCTAACAGTCCTGGCGGGGCCAGCCCTCTCCTCTCCGGGGCTGCATGGAGAGCCTCAAGAGAACGGCTAGAGGTTGGCCAGGAGCCCCAAGGGGTGAATGACCCCTGGCCTTGGACTAGTCCAGGGGACCGGCAGCGTGGTGGCTGCTGGTGAAGATCTGGATTCCAGCCCCCCACTCTCTCTCCCAGCTAGCCCTGGGCTCTGCCGCAGGGAAGGTCTCCCTCTGTCGTCTCGTCAAGCACAACCAGAAGGTGGCGGTACCCCCTGTGGCTGGACTGTGGGGAGGATCAGATTGGGAGAGAGGGCTGAAGGAACTGGAAAGGACCGGGTAGCACCAGCCTCCCGGAGCTGTGCCTGCCGGTAATCTCTGGTCTCAGCGCAGCTCCGGGGGCCACTGGAAGAGGGCAGGGCTTGTCGCTGGAGCTTACCCCGAGTGTGTTTCTCTCGCAGCTGAAGCCAAGGCTGCAGAAGCAGCGGCCAGCGCCTATTACAACCCGGGCAACCCACACAACGTCTACATGCCCACGGTGAGCGGGGACGGGGAGCGGGCGGGCAGTGTGCAGGGGTCTAGGGGCGGGGAGACCTTGTCTTGTCGTGGACCTTCTGATGAGATCTTTCTTCCTTCCTTCCTTAGAACCAGCCTCCGCCACCTCCTTACTACCCCCCAGAAGATAAGAAGACCCAGTAGACCCCTCCTGCCCCTGCCTCCCATCCCTTGTCACTCTTCCCTTCCCTTCCCCTTGGGGCTGAGGCTGGGGCTAGGGGGGTGACGGAAGGGCCTTGTTCTTCCTCCAGGTCTGATTGTAAAACACTTAGCAGGGACTGGTGTTGAGGGAAGGGGGGGCCCCCTTGACTTGGGAGCTGTGCCTCCCCGCTTCTCAAGCTAGCTCGGAGCCCACGGCGCCGCTTGGATGCGCTTCCCTCTCACCGTGTCTGGGGCTCTGCTCAGGAGCGTGGGCATCCATCTCGCTCCTGTCTTGCTCTAGTAGCTTCATGCCCATGGAAGGATTCTGGCCACCTCCTCTACCGCAGTCCAGCTCCCTCGTTTTGGAATCCAATTTATATTCAGCCTTGTGACCTCCCTCAGACCAGCCTCGCGTCTTCCCGAGGGCCCCCACCGGGCCCCCCTCACGTTCCCTCCGCTCTGGTCTCTGCCTCCCCATGGAAGGCCACCTTCTCACCGGACGGTCAGCCCACATTCCAATCCCAGCCAGCCTCCAGCCAGGTCACGCTCACCTTCACCTCGCTGTCCTCTCCTTGGTCACCTGTTGCCACCACTTTGACTTTTGGAGCTTTAACTTGAGCTTCCACGTGGTGGGCGGCACTGGGCTGGGCGGCTGCTTCCCTCCAGGTATTTTTGGCTTTTGTTTCCCTCTACCTTCTCTCCTTTCCCTCTGGAGGAGGCTTCTCAGACTGGAGAATGCATGTTCATTCCATCGTACCGTCTGGGGGCTTCGGGGTGGGCTGGAACAGAGGCCCCTGACCTGAGCCTGTGTGCTGACCATGACCTCACCAGCCCCTCACCCTGCTCTCTTCCCTTTAAGCTTCATGCCTAATTGGTGATATGCCCCCTGGATGCACTAAAATTTGCTCTCATTTGCTTCTGGACTGGCCGTGAAGTGAGGAGATGGTTATTTAAAGAGAATGCCCTATTTATTTGACAAAACAACAACAACAAAAAACCCAATTAATATATTAATGTGAAATAAACCCTGTTTGCACCTTGATTTGTTTGCTGAAAATGTGAAGTAGTAAAAATGAAGTGACTGGACCCTTCTGGCTCTGTGTGTGGTGTCCAGCGTGAGCTCTTGGGAAAAGAGAACGGTCTGGCTGCTATGGCCCTGGGGGGTTCTGGGGAGACCGGTCCCTCCCCGTGTGAGAGTCCCTTGTTCCCACAGCACTTTGGGGCCCAGGACACTAAGGCCTCCCACAGCTCTGCTCAGTGGTGGTTACTTAGCAACTTGGCCCACCCACGGGGTCCCCTGGGGCCCGGGGCAGCCGAGCAGCTGCCCTGGGCTGGAGGCCTTGGAGGCGGGTGCTGGCCTGCTGTGCTCACCACCTCAGGGAGATGCAGCCCTGGCCCGTCTCTGGCCACGAGGTGTCTGCAGGAGGAACATGTGTGGCAGTCTCTCCAGTGCATGACTTCTTGTGAACCTCCGTGTCGGGGAGGGGGGGACACAACACAGCTAGAGTCCTTCCCAGGGCCTAACACCCCCCCCACCCCCCTGGGCCCTGGCCTGGAGGAGGGCTGGGGGCGTGGTACCAGTGGGTCTGGGAGCTCTGAGAAAGGCCAGCACTAGAGCACTGGGGTGTCCTCTTTCCTGTCGCTTCTGGCTGGGCAGCGCCGCCTCTCCAGCCACTTCCTCTGTCCAGCCCCGCCCAGGAGCCCCTGGGGTTGGCCAGACCCCTACAAGGGCATCTGAAGGGAGCACCTCCTGACCGGTCTTGTAGGGGCGGGGGCCGCAGGGCTGTCTCCGCCCAGCATGGCTTGGCCCCGTCACCTTGGTGGAATGTCACCTGTGGGGTGGAGCAGGCCGAGCAGTGGCCGCCTGCTGCGGAGATGCCTCTCGAGCCTCCATCCCGTGCCCTGCCCACCCCCACCCTAGGTCTCCGTCCGTTCAGGGAAGTCTGTGAGTGGCAACCCCACCAACCCAGGGCAGCTCTCCCCCTGGTCCCTGGCCCAGCTGGGCACACCCGTGGTGTGGGCCTGGCCCTGACGCCCCCTGCTGGGGAGCACTGGATACCCCCCCCCCAACATGCACCAGGGCCTCTGTGGGAGGGCGGGGTGGGGCCAGACCCGCCCACCAGGTCCACCTGCCTCCAGCCTGATAGAGTTCCTCCCACGGGCCAGCCGGAGGAAGGTGTAGGCCTCTGAGGTGGTGAAACCCTGACCGGAACCTCCCCCCACCCGCCTGCCCCCCCCACCTCCCTGGCGCGGGGAGGCACCGGGTGCGCTTTGCATAATCCTGTGGCTTCACTATCTTCACCCCGCGGCTGCAGCTCGGTGGAGGGGAAGGGCAGAGCGGCCCCCATGGCGACACCCCTCTCCCACCCCCAGCGGCGCCCTCCCCTCCTCCGCCAGGCCATCAAGATAAGGCGCCGCAGGGTCAGAGATCTGCAGGATCCCCTGGCCCAAACCGCTCAGGAGGTAGGAGTGACCTCACTGGGGAGGAAGAGTGGCCAGGGTGGGGCTCTTAAGGTCTCTGGGTGTGGGGCTCTACCTCTCGTAGGCTGGGGCTGAGGATGTGGTTCCCTCTCCTGCCTGTTGCGGCACCTGGGCAGGGCCTTCTGGGTTGGCAGGCTGGGGTCCGCCATGTGTTCTCTGGGCCATCCTGGGTCTCAGGTCTGGGGTCGGAGCCTCTCTTAGCCCCCTCCCTCTGGAGGGGCCCCCTGCCCACCGTAGCCTCTGGTCTTCCAGCTCCAAAGACACCTGGAGGACACAGGGAGTGTCCCTGCTGTGGGCCGGGCGGCTTGGGGATCAGCTGAGCAGCCCCCAGGCCTGCTTGGCATGACCCCCCCAGTCTCCCACCTCCACTGCTGGGCCTCACTTCCGCCGCGGGGGTGCCGAGCGTGGCCGCCAGATAAGCAGAGCTGCTTCCTCTGGGGAAGGAAGGGCGGTTGGGGCCACGGGTGCAGCGAGCTCACGCTGCTGGGGCAGCTGAGTGCCAATGGACCTCAGCCACGGCAGGCCAGGGGATGAGGAGGGTGGCCCAGGGGCTGGGCTCCCAGGAGGCCTGCTGCGGGAACAGGTGTGCGGCACTGGTGGGTTGGAGGCCGGGAACCAGGGCCCCCGCAGCCCTGGCCTGGCCTGCTCTGAGAGCCGTCAATGCTGTCTGAGCCCTGGTGCAGGCCTTGGGGACACCTTGTCTTTTCACTTTACTCCTCAGCTCGAGCCTCCATCCCACCACCTCTCCCCTGAGGAGGTAAGAATCGGAGTACTGGGGGAGGCAGTGGGGTGCTGGGAACACACCCCTCGGCTACTGGCCAAGGCTGACGGCAACAGCAGGGGAGGGGGGCACTTCTAGGCCTAACCCCCCACCCCCCACACACTGTGGGCGCCTTGTCCCAGTTTTGGCCGTGCAGTGTTGGTGCCAGGGTGGCTGGGGGAGCTCACCTTGCAGTGGGCAGACCGGGGTTCCTGAGGTGACCCTGCTGTTGTCTCAGCGGGCCCTGCTCTACGAGGAAGCTCTCTACACTGTCCTGCACCGCCTGGGTCAGCCTGAGCCCAGCCATGTGCGGGAGGCCTCTGAGCTGCTGCAGTACCTGCAGGAGGTGAGTGCAGCCCCCACTCCGCCCGCCATCCTGCAGCCCGGACCCAGGAGTCCTCTCTTCCCCGCCCAGCCGCCCCCACCCTGCGCCCCTAGCCTCCTACACTCCTACCCTACCAGGCCTTCCACATGGAGCCCGAGGAGCACCAGCAGATGCTGCAGCAGGTCCAGAAGCTTGAGGTAACCCTGCTCCGGGAACCATCCTAGGCTAGGACAGGGGCTGAGAAGCCCAGCTCCCTCTGGGACTCAGGCTCACACTTCTGTCCTTCTAGAAGCCAGTATTTTGTCTGAAGGCAACTGTGAAACAAGCTAAGGGCATTCTGGGCAAAGATGTCAGCGGTGAGTAGGAGGTGAGGGGCCCTGAGGGTCCTCTTCCCAGCTCCTCCTCCTCCCCATCAGTCCGTCCCAGAACTCAGCTGGAACTCAGAACTCCCCGCTCCCAGATGTCCCCTCCCCACCGGGTGCTGCTGGCCCCAGGGCCTTTGAGTCTGGGTTGGGGAGGGACTCTGCCCCTGGGATTGGGGTGATGAGGGAGTCTCCCAGGGAGCCCTGCCAACCCCCTGGCAGCCTTGTCCTTTCCCTCCTCCCCAGGATTCAGTGACCCCTACTGCTTGCTGGGCATCGAGCAGGGGGTGGGCATGCAGGGGGGCAGCCCTGGGTCCCGCCATCGGCAGAAGGCCGTGGTGAAGCACACCATCCCGGAGGAGCAGACCCACCGCACCCAGGTCATCGCCCAGACACTCAATCCAGTCTGGGAGGAGACCTTCATCCTGTACGTGGCCCTGCCCCAGCCCCTATCCCCTCAAGGAGATCAGCAGGACTTCCTGGCTCAGGGGAGGGGACTTGGCTAGACTGGAGGAGGGGCCTGCTCCCTAGGCCAGAGACCGACGAGGAGGCACAAACACCACGTGTGCTGGGTTGATGTGGGGGGTGGGCCGAAGCTTTACCTTAGGGGAGGGAGGAGGAGTTTGCAAGGAGGGGCTCCGACGGGACAGTGGGTAAGTGGGGGTGGGAGCTTCTGGGGACAGGCTCTGGCCGGGGTCCGGCCCTCCAAGGCCCTCAGCCAGGCCCTTTTCTCCCCATAGGGAGTTTGAGGACATAAGCAACTCGAGCTTCCATCTGGACATGTGGTGAGGGGCATGCGCTGCCCGTAGGGGTCAGGGAGAGAAGAGAGGTGGTTCGGGGTGGTGGATCCTCCTCCCAAAGAGGTCAAGGGCTCCCGGGACACCCTCTCTGCCTCCTGCTCAAACCTTTGCCGCCCCCGCAGGGATATGGATACCGTGGAGTCTGTCAGACAGAAGCTCGGGGAGCTCACAGATCTGCACGGGCTGCGAAGGTGAATACCACGGGAACAGGTTCCTGGGGGAAGGAGTGTGGGCTGCCCTCCCCATGCATGCGAATCGGTTGCTGGGCCACAGGCTCTGTCCAGGCCCAGGGGGCCACAGGAGGGGATGGATCCCAGCCTGACCCCTCATGGCCCCTGCCTGGAACAGGATCTTTAAGGAGGCACGGAAGGACAAAGGCCAGGACGATTTTCTGGGGAACGTGGTTGTGAGGCTACAGGTGAGCGGGGTCAGGAAACAGGGATTCGTGTGGGGTTCAAGGGAGGGGCTCTGGGTCCACATCAAGCCGAGCCTGGGGTCGGCCTCCCGTTGCCTCCTCTGCCCCCAACCGTGTGAGGCTTACGCTGCCCGTGGGCGTGGCCCCTCCCGCCTGCCTGGCCCCCGCAGGACCTGCGCTGCCGGGAGGATCAGTGGTACCCTCTGGAGCCCTGCACCGAGACCTACCCAGACCGCGGTCAGTGCCACCTCCAGTTCCAGCTCATTCACAAGCGGGTAGGTCTGGGGCCAGGAGCAGGGGTCTTCCAGTGGCCTGCCTGGGTTGGGCAGATGGACTGTGCTAGGGATGGGGTCCCCTCCTCACCGCCATGCCGGCCCCATTGCAGAGAGCCCCGGCAGCCAGCCGCTCCCAGCCCAGCTATACGGTGCACCTCCACCTGCTCCAGCAGCTGGTGTCCCATGAGGTCACCCGGCACCAGGTACTGCCCTCCCAGGGCTAGGGGAGGCACGTGGGGCCTACCGGCCAGCTCCTAACACCCTTCTACCTGTGCCCTCAGGCAGGCAGTACCTCCTGGGACGGGTCGCTGAGTCCCCAGGCTGCCACCATCCTCTTTCTCCATGCCACGCAGAAGGACCTATCTGACTTCCACCAGTCCTTGGCGTGAGTGCACCTGGGAGGGTCGCCTGGGAGGTACCAGCCTCTGCCTCCCTGCCTGTCCTACAAGCTGGCAGGCCAAAGTCTAACCCTCGAGAGATTTCTGTTTGGTCCCAACTGTGTGTGTTCAAGTTTTGAGTCTGGTGCCAACTCTTAAAAATCTGGAGATTTTCCATACAGAGTCACATCTCCAGCTTCCCGTGTACCCCAAGTGCATTCATTCTCCTGGGCTAGCAGGGGGTCGCAGCAGAGAGCCTGGCTTCCCCCGCCCCTCACGGCTGCCATCAGCCCAGTCACTCCCTGACACCCTCTGAATCCTTCTGGGCATTTGAATTTGCTACCCCTGCCCCAGATGACAGCCTTGTGGCCCAGCTCCAGCGCTCTGGGGTCTACAGATTTGTGCGCCAGCATTACCAACTCTGTGTCGAGGGCTTGTCACGTCCCCCGGGCCCTAACAGGTTGTGGGAACATGTTCGAGTGCAGGTGAGGCGTGTGGAGCGGGGGGCACCCCAGGTGGAATGAGAGTGGGTGTGGCCCGGGGCCACGGCGGACACTTGGCATTTGAGTAGGGGGCGGACGGAGGTGGGGGACAAGGGCAGCTTGTAGGACCGTGGGCAGGTGGGTATCCCCAGGGAGGGGGGGGGGGGATGCAGGCGGGGCCCGATGCAGGAGCTGGCACCCACAGTGAGGGCCCAGTGCGCCCTCAGGGCCCACGCATGTAGTTCGGGTGACCGCTGTGTCCTGGGAGGGGCTGGGCAGCCCTCTCTCCGCCATCCTCCATCACTGTCCCACTCGGGTCTCAGCTTGGTCGTCACCTCCATGAGGTGTCCCCTGAACTATCTAAACGGGAGTCCCAGCGGACGTTTGCCACGTGTGCATGAAGGCTCAAGTCTCCACATCTGATTTTTTCAAAAGGAGCAAGAAATCCTGAATTCTTTTTTTTAAAGATTTTATTTATTTATTTGAGAGAGAGAGAGAGAGAAACAGCATGAGAGGGGAGAAGGTCAGAGGGAGAAGCAGGCTCCCGCTGAGCCGGGAGCCCGATGCGGGACTCGATCCCGGGACTCGATCCCGGGACTCCGGGATCATGACCTGAGCCGAAGGCAGTCGCTTAACCATCTGAGCCACCCAGGCGCCCCAAGAAATCCTGAATTTTTAAATCACAAGTATCCCAAGCGGACAGGGAGATGATTCATTTACCTGTTTGAAAAGCACCTTGACTAGGCTGATGAGGGCCCGCAGGAGGTCTGGGGCAGGGCGGGCGGGCGGCGGGAGGGGCGAGGCCCCAGGCCGCACTGGGGGCTTCGTGTGTCGCAGGCAGTGGCTGGCTTATAGCCGCCTCTACCAGAGCCTGGAGTTCCCGAGCAGCTGCCTCCTGCACCCCATCACCAGCATCGAGTACCAGTGGATCCAGGGCCGGCTCAAGGGGGAACAGGTGGGCTGCGGTGGAAGGAGGAGTGTCGGGCAGGAGGGGCTCCGGGAGCCGGACGGCCGCCCGGGGCCCCTGTGACGCAGCGCCCGACTCTGTGTGGCCCCGCAGCTGGAGGAGCTGACCGCCTCGTTCAGCAAGCTGCTGGCCTACGGCCTCTCACTCCTCCGCAAGTTCCGGTCGGTTTTCCCCCTCTCTGTGCCCGACTCCCCGGCCCGGCTGCAGTCTCTGCTCAGGTCAGCGGCTTGCGCTCCCCCTTCCTCAGTGGGCAAGGGAACAAGGAAGAGCTGGGGCCCCTGCTGGCGAAGCCTGCTGCAGCTGTGAGTGGAGGCCTTGGGCCGGAGGCGTCCTGGACGCAGCTGTCTGTCTCCGCAGGGTCCTGGTACAGATGTGCAAGATGAAGGCCTTCAGAGAGCTGTGCCCTGACAGCGCCCCACTGCCCCGCCTGGTGACCGAGACGCTGAGGGTACGGGACTCCCCCTGGGGACGAGGAGGGCTTGGGCCCGAGCCTGGCACCCCTCCCCGCTCACCACCTCTTTGCCCGCAGACTGGCACGGTCGAGTGGTTCCACCTGAAGCAACAGCACCATCAGCCCATGGTGCAGGTGAGGGGGCTTGGGCAGGGAAGGAGGGGGGAGGCGGGGTGGGGTGCTCACCCCCTGCAGCCCTGCTCAGCGCACCTCTGTCCCTGCCAGGGCATGCTGGAGGCGGGCAAAGCCCTGCTGAGCCTGGTACAGGACATCATAGGTGACCTACACCAGTGCCAGCACACGTGGAACAAGATCTTCCAGAAGTGAGCAGGTGGCTGGGTGGGAAGGTAGCATGGCAGGGGCTCAGAATGGGGACCAGAAGGGCCCCGGGTGTGCTCCCAGGTCACACCTGTGGCCTTCCTTGCAGCACCCTCAAGGTCGATCTCTTCTCCATGGCTTTCCTGGAGCTGCAATGGCTGGTGAGTCTCTGCCCAGCGCCCCCCGCCCCGAGTCTCCAGGCTTTGCCCTCCACCCTGATTCGGGAGCCCTGTCCGCATGCCTTCCCTTTGCAGGTGGCCAAGCGGGTGCAGGACCACACGGCGGTGGTGGCAGGCAGCCCCGTGTCCCCAGAGATGGGCGAGAGTCTATTCCAGCTCTATGTCAGCCTCAAGGAGCTCTGCCAGCTGGGCCCGGGCCCTGCAGAGAGGTGGGCAGCAGGCTGTCGGCACAAGAGAGAGAGGAGGGTCAAGGAGGGTCTGCGCTAGCCCCGGCATTCCCCAGGCTGAGCCCCAGCTCTCCCCAGGGATGGAGTCCTGGCCCTGGATGGCTTTCACCGCTGGTTCCGGCCCGCCATCCCCTCCTGGCTGCAGAAGACTTACAGTGTGGCCCTGGCGCGGGTGCAGCGCGCTGTGCAGATGGACGAGGTGGGGGCGGGGCCTGCAGTGGGGCGGGGCCCGGCTTTGGGGGTGGGGCTAGGGGCTCTGCTGGGGCCTCTAGGATACGCAGAAGTTGGCCACCAGCTCTTGAGGCCAGCTGTGCGTACAACGCTGCCTCCTGATATCCTTGGTTTTCAGTGTGGCTTTCCTTCACAGACTGATCTTTGCAGCCTGGGGGTCTGGGTGGAGCCTTGCTCCTACCCCTTGTAGCCCCTTGCCCCCCCCACCCCCACCCCTGCTTGCTGGTGGTAGAAGCTCTGAATGCCTGGGGAAGGAAGGAGGGAGGGAGGGGCACCAATCTGGCGAGCCCTGAGCCCTCTCTTCTGCACCCTCCCCCATCCCCCAGCTGGTGCCCCTGAGTGAACTGACCAAGCATAGCACATCAGCTGTGGATCTGTCCACCTGCTTCGCCCAGATCAGCCATACTGCCCGGCAGCTGGACTGGCCGGACCCAGAGGAGGCCTTCATGATCACCGTCAAGTTTGTGGAGGTGCGGCGTCTTCCCGTGTCCTTCCCCACCTTTCTAGGACAGCCTCATTTGACTTGCCCTGTTTCCCCCAAGCTGTTGCCCTAGCAGCCTCCGAAAGCCTAGGTCTTGAATCCCCAAGTCACTGAGATTTCCATGCCTCCCCCCAGTGCCCCCCCCATCGGGCTCCCGCTGCATTGATCATCCTCTCCCCACCCCAGGACACCTGTCGGCTGGCTCTGGTATACTGCAGCCTTATAAAGGCCCGGGCCCGTGAGCTCTCTGCAGGCCAGAAGGACCAGGGCCAGGCAGCCAACATGGTAAGGGCCAGAGCTGGATGTCGGGCCGGGGGTGGGGTTAGGGATTGCCGGTGCTGGCAGACTCCAGCAGCTCTGCATCCCTGTGCCCATGCCTGCCCTCAGCTGTGCGTGGTGGTGAATGACATGGAGCAGCTGCGGCTGGTGATCGGCAAGCTGCCCACTCAGCTGGCCTGGGAGGCTCTGGAACAGCGAGTAGGGGCCGTGCTGGAGCAGGGCCAGCTGCAGAACACGCTGCACGCCCAACTGCAGGGTGCGCTGGCTGGGCTGGGCCATGAGATCCGCACAGGCGTCCGCACCCTGGCCGAGCAGGTACCTTGTCCAATTCACAGGGACCCCGCCGTGCCCATCCTTGTCCTGAAGCGCCTCCAGTAGGACTCGGGCTGATGTCCAGCCCCTACCCCTTCCTAAACCTAAACTCAGGCTCCAGGAGGCCTCACCCTGTCCCCTGTACTCATGCCCTGGCCTCCCTCCTACTGTTTTGTGTCTCCAGCTGGAGGTGGGCATTGCCAAGCACATCCAGAAACTCGTGGGCGTCAAGGAGTCTGTCCTGCCTGAGGATGTGAGTGGCCCTCCCTGCTCACCTTTGCCAAAGGGGCTTAGAGTAGCAGGGGGTGGAAGGCCGGGGGGTGTCAGAGATAAGTCCCCCAGACGTGGGCAGGAAATGTTCCCTTCTGGACCTCGGTTTCCTGCTTGGATGCTAAGGGGGAAGGGGTGGGTCATTCCATGGGCTCTCCCAGCATCCGCGTGGGGACTGCAGTGGGGGAGGGCTTAGCCTTTGCAGCCAAACCGATCTGGGTGTGCATCCTTCTGAACTCCCTGTTTCTACAAGCCAGCTGACTTCAGCATCCTCATCTGTCCGGGGGCAGAGAGAGTGATGTGTACCTTTGGTTGTCTGGGAGAAGGTCACTCAGTAATTCAGCAGCCTATGTAAGCGCTCTGTCACGGGCATAGATTTAGGCATGGGGGTATGGATCAATGAGCAAAACTTACAAAACTCCCTGCCTTCCTGGAGCTCACATTCTGGTAGGGGAGTTGGAAGGAGAGCTAGAACCGTAGCTGTGACTAGAATTAAACGTGTGTGTGTGTGCACACATGACGCGTTAGTGAGTACTAGAGAAAATGAAGATATTTATATCCGTATTTGTGTTTTTTTAAAAGATATTTTTAGACAGTGGCTAGAGAAGGCCTTCCTCAGGGGGTGACAGCTGAGTCAAGACCTCAAGGAAGCAAGAGAAGGAGCCCTGAGGATTTCTAGGGGAGGGCACGGCCAGGGCCAGGGCCCTGCGGCAGGACCCCGCACTCTGGAGGAGACCGGTGTGGCCGGAGCCGACTGTGGGCAGGGCTCAGCTCTGGCGCACGTTCCGAATGAGGCAGGCAAAAGTTCGTGGCCCTGTTTCCTCTTCCGAGTCAGGGCATGGGAATGGGCCAGAGCCAGACTTGCCACCCATTCCTCTCCCCAGGCCATTCTGCCCCTGATGAAGTTTCTGGAGGTGAAGCTCTGCTACCTGAATACCAACTTGGTGCAGGAGAACTTCAGCAGGTGTGCAGCACCCTCCCACCCTGTGGCGCCACCTCCCCCTGACCTGCCCCTCTTTCCCGGCCTCAGCCATTTTCACGGGAGGATGCAACCCGCCTCTGCTTAAATGCTCACTCCTAGGGACAGGGAGCTCACTACCTCACACACCTGCCCGTTTCCCTTTAGGCGGAGCAGAAAGCTGCCCACCTTTTCTCCCTTAGCCCTGGGCTGTCTGTCCCTCCTAACATTACAGGCAACTGATGTTCCTCTCCCAGGATCCAGGGGGACTTCTTGTTAGGGTCTCTCTTAAAGCAGGGGCCCAGCACACCAGGCAGCAGGACTAGACGTCAAGGACGTGGGCTCTGGCCCACCTGGGTTCAGACTCTAGTTTTGCTGCTGCTCGGTGGGTGGATTGAGCAGATTACTCAAGTTTTCCATGCAGATGATCATAGTTCTGGCCTCTAATGAGGATCAAGTGAGTCACATGGGGTGCCGAGCACAGCGCCTGTGCAAAGGAAGTGGTCGGTAATGAGCTGCACAATGATGACCCTGGGTCCTCCCCACGGGAACTGGGCTCTGAGACTGCTGCCCCTCCCCCCAGAGGTCCACTCCCAGTGGCGCGGCGGGGCCGGGGCAGCCCACCGCTGTTATTTCTCAGGCCACAATATGCCATTTGTTCAGCTAAAACGGAGTTAAATCTCCATTATAGGGACTTGACTCATATAGTCTCAAAAGCCGTTAGAACGTTGTTTGGTGCCTAGTAAGCACTCAAATATGCTGAATCCATTAACTACCTTTAATGCAACCTTCCCCATTCCTAATTGCACAACCCAGTTTTGTTTTGTTTTGTTTTTGTACTGAACTGCCTGACTCTACTTTGACATGTGAAATTTCAGTTATTTCAGGTAGTTAGGACGTGGCTTGGTTGTCACTTTATTCTCCCCAGGGGTAGTAGGTGCTTATCTGTGTTGAAATCCTATTCATTTTGACCACCCCTATATTGAATCGTGATTATGTCACTGGGGGACCAGCCTCCCTGCCCCTCCTTGTCTGTTGGGGTTTGATAGTCCTACTGAGGGAGGTTCTTTGCTACGTTGTGAAACATACTGGTTGGGACTGGCCCCATCTGCACCACCCCCCTCCTTGTGCTCCTTCCCTCAGGAGACCAGCCCTCCCTCCCTCCACCCCTGCCTGCTGCCCTGGTCCCAGCCTTACCAGAGAAGCAGGTGGAAGTGGAGGGTGGGGTGGGGTGGGGAGGAGCTGGGGGTGGGCCTGGGTCTCTCAAGAGCGTCTCTGCTTCCTCTCTTCCGTCCTCCTGTCCTGCCACTGGCATCCCTCTGCACCTCACCCCAGCCTCCTGACCCTGCTCTGGACCCACACGCTCACCGTGCTGATGGAGGTGGCTGCCTCCCAGCGGAGCTGCCCCCTGGCCTCCAGCAGGCTGAAGATTGCATTGCAGGTACTGATAGCAGTGACAACGAGTAATAACCCGGGGTGGGGGGGTTGCTGATGTCTCACCCTCCTGATGTCTCACCCCTAGAATCTGGAGATCTGCTTCTACGCAGAGGGCTGTGGCCTACCACCCGCAGCGCTGCACACAGACACCTTCCAGGTAGGGGTCTTTTGGTGAGCTGGTGAGGTTGGGGGGGGGAACCTGCCTTTCTGTGCTCACCCGTGTCCAGTACCAGCTGCATAATTTACAGGGCCCAGCACAGAAAGAAAATGTGGGCCCCCCCCCCTTTTCAAAAATTAAACCAAGCAGAAGGTTCTTTAAGCACAGGGAGGGGGCAGCTGTGAGACTGTGGGGGGGGCACACCTGTGAAGCCCACCCGGAGCTTTCCGTATCACATTGATATTGGCCGAACCAAATCCTCTGAAGGGCGTCACTGGACTGGGTTGAGTGGGACAGTTCAGGTGACTTCTCAGCTGTGCCTCGTTCCCAGGCTCTGCAGAGGGACCTGGAGCTGCAGGCCGCTTCCAGCCGGGAGCTCATCCAGAAGTACTTCTGCAGCCGCATCCAGCAGCAGGTGAGGCTCTTTTCCTCCGTGGGGCTCCCGGCGCCCCTGGGGCCCCGCCTGCATCCTGCCCCACTCTGCCCCTGCGCTCCACCCCTAGGCGGAAACTGCCTCTGAAGAGCTGGGGGCTGTCACAGTCAAGGCTTCCTACCGCACCTCTGAGCAGAAGCTGCGTGTGGAACTGCTCAGCGCCTCCAGCCTGCTGCCCCTGGACTCCAACGGTGAGTGCAGGCTGCGCGCTGGCCACTGCCCGTGTCCTCACTGGGCCCACCCCCACGTCCCCCCGCGTCCCTGGCCGGTCTGCTCTCCGGAGAGGGAGCGCTGGGTGCGTTTCCTTCATGTTGCCAGGAGGGGGCGATGCGGCCGAGCAGGGCACAGCGGCGGGGGCGGGGAACTGGGATATCCTTGGCAACGTCACCTCCCCAGGTGACCTCCCCACTTGCCAGGCTCCAGCGATCCCTTTGTCCAGCTGACCTTGGAGCCCAGGCACGAGTTCCCTGAGCTGGCCCCCCGGGAGACCCAAAAGCACAAGAAGGACCTTCACCCCCTGTTTGATGAAACCTTTGAATTGTGAGTGGGTTCCTACACTCGCCACCCTTCCCCAGCCCTGGACTTCCCTCAGACCTGCTCCTTCCACAGCTCTCCTGTGATGAAGGCATTTGGGTTCCAGGGAGGGGGCACCTGGAAGGGGGGTTTGCTGGGACCCTACGAGGAGTGGGACTGTGGGGGAGAGGGCCCCCACCTGTTGGGACTTAGAGTCTTGCTTCCAGAGAAATGGTCCTCTTCCTAAGTCCTCTGTTCCCTGAGACAGGAGGGTCTGGGGAACACAGGCCCCTGGTTTAAAGTCAAAGGAGGTGTCTGTCAGAGCACACGCCAGGCCGAGAACTGACTGCCATTCCAATCCCCACCTGTCTGCCGTCAGCCCTGGCCTGTCCCCAAGAACCAGCGATGAACTGTGTGTGTGTGTGGGGGGGCGCCAGTGACCGTGTAGGGGTGGGCAGCTGAGCCCCGCTCTGTCCCCCCCTCAGCCTGGTGCCTGCTGAGCCATGCCAGAGGGACGGAGCGTGCCTCCTGCTCACAGTGCTGGACCACGACACGCTGGGGGCTGACGACTTGGAAGGGGAGGCCTTTCTGCCCCTGCGCTCCGTGCCGGGCCTGACTGGGACCGAGGAGCCTGGCGAGGTGCCTCAGACGCGCCTGCCCCTCACCTACCCTGCACTCAACGGTAGGCCTGAGCCCCAGGGCAGAGGCTGTGGGGCTTCGGGTGCAGGACCTGGCCCAGCACTGGGGGTGCAGGGGAGGGGCAGCCCGTCAAGGTCAGGCAGCGGCCCCTGGGGGCGCGAATGGAGCTGGGGTCAGAGAAATCCCTCCTTGGAGGTGGGAGCCAGTGGAGTCAGCGTGGAGGCTTGTGTTGCTGAGCAGATCTCGGTCTCATCAAGAGACAAGTGAAATCTGTTAGGCCAAGTGTGGTGTGACTCTTCGGGGATGGGGGGTCACCAGTATGTTTACCTGGGGAGAGAGGCTGGGTCTCCGACTGGGGGGCACAGGCCAAGTGTTCTCCAGACTGGATAATAATAGGTGACATGTCTGAGCACTTATTATGGGCCACTCCTAAGCACTTGATACGTATTAACTCCCAATCCTACAACCACCTAATGTGTCAGATACTATTACTGCTGTTTTACAGATGAGTAAACCGAGGCACAAAGAGGTTAACTAGCTAGCCTTAGGTTCTCATGTAAAGAGGTAATAGTTGCAACCTGAGGCGCGTCTCACTCAGCCTCTTCCGGTGCAAATCGCAGTCATGCCAGAGGCGCTGATGTGTCTCATCTTACCCGTCGGGCTGTCTTGTGAGCTTGGCTGGTGTGTGTCCATCACTAGTTTCCAGGATGGCTAGAGAATGGGTCAGTGCTGTGTCCCCTGCCACTACCCAGGCACTGCCCCCCGCCCTGCCGCAGTCTGACCCCCAAACGCCTCTCTTCACAGGGGATCCCATCCTGCAGCTGTTGGAGAGCCGGAAGGGTGACCGGGAGGCCCAGGTGTTTGTGAGGCTGCGGCGGCAGCGAGCCAAGCAGGCCTCCCAGCATGCCCCAAGGCCAGGGCAGTAGAGTTTTAAGTGCCAGTAGCAGTGGAGGTTAGGGATGGGGTTGGGTGCCCGGTAGGGACGGGCTTTCCTGAAAGGTCTGGGTTCTCCCTACCATAGTGCAAGCCCTCCAGCCTGGCCTAATGCTCCAGAAGGGCCCTGCAAACCTGGGGAACCCCAGCGTGTGGAAGGCCCAGCGTGAAGATCCCGTCTGGTCCTCCTGCCAGAGCAGGGACCCATGGTGCTGGTGCCAGGACCCTATTAGTATTTATATTCCCTTCTTCCTGCCTTCAGCCCTGGCCTCAGCATTCTCTACCGAATCTCAGCACCAGGGGGAGGGTGCGGCTGTCTGCGGCTCCCGCCCCTGCTTCCCTCTTTGGGGGAAGCTGCTCTGGCAGAGACCTCTCGGCCACCTGTTTCTGGCACGCCTATTTCCAGTCACTGGGGTGGAGGTTAGGCTCCCACGGGCCTGTTCTTTAGCACCCCTACCTTGGTTCACTAGGGCCAGGGCTATGGCACAAAGCCTCCTGGGGGAGGGAGGGAGGGGACCCTGCCAGAGACGAGGCTACAGCTGCCCTGGTGGGGAGGGCAGCAGCTCTAATGAAGGGAGCCTGGCTCCTCTCCTGAGGTGGCTGCCAGTGCCCAGGCTAAGGAGCCTGGAGCCAAGGAGCTTCTGGCTCGGAAGAGGTGAAAGCTGGCAGGCAGTGGGGCTGGCATGGAGGGGCAGAAGCAGAAAAGACAGCTTGGCCAGCCGTGTCTACTGAGGATACCTCCTCCCTGAGACGGTACCTGCCACTTAGGAACTTTCTTAGCAAAAATAAAAAAAGAAAAACAATTCATTGTCCTCTAAGGAACTATACCGTTGGCCTGCACTGGCGCCCAGAAGTTTATAGTCAGGCCACACAAACCCTCTCCTCAGCCCTCTGGCAATGAGACCTTGAGCTGCCCCTGACCTGGGGGGGGGGGCTGGCCCACCCCTCACTCCCTCACGTTCTAGAGCACGTGTGGGAGTAACTGATGCACAAGCAGGGCTTCGCACAAAACATTACTAGGCATGTCAGTTTGTGGTTGCTGCCTGGCACTCCAAGGGGAGCACTGGGAGTGGGGGGGGCGTCTCCCAGGAGTGCAGGCTGAGTGGCTATTCAAGGGCTTAGAGGAGCAGGGTCCCAGCCTGGCCTGGGGGGAGGTGGCCACTGTATTGGGGGTCAGAGCCCAAGGCCAGGTTGTCATTCTAGCTATGTGACCCTGTTTGAGTCCCTTAACCTCTCAGGTATGATGGGAGTCGGAGGTCAGATGAGATCACCTCCAAGGCTCCTTTCAGCTCTGAATCTGAGCCCCATACAGAGCCCACTAGGTGTGTTTCTCACAGCCACCTGCTAGGCCCGCTTAGAGCAGGGGAAGGGGGGTGGCTCAAAGGCTGAGACCCTCCTCCTCCCTCCCTTCTAGTGCTTTTATGAGAAGGCAGTATGTGTCCGTTTCTCTGGGAGACAACTAGGGACCTGTTGTCTTTCACAAAACAAGTAAACAGGTCCCAGCTGATAATGGATCCCTGAAGAGTCCTAAGCCTAGGAGGCCTCCCGGGCTAAAGGTCTCCAACTCATTTGCGCCAGCAGGCCTGGGTCGGAGGGCACTTGAGCTCTGTCTAGGGGCTTGGAGCCACCTGGGGGCTTGAAGGTGGCTTTAGCCGCCTAGCCACACCTTGGGTGGGGGCCTGAGCTCTTTCCGTGGCCTTGGTGGGGCTGGAGCCGAGGCTGGGAGGGCCAAGCTGACTCTTCTGATTGTTCAGAGGCCCTTATTTGGGGCCCTGCTCTCCCTCACCCCCATGTGAACAAGCTACCATTTTAAGTTCATATTTTATTTCCAATAGGTTTGGAGCTTTGTTGATTTTTGCATTTTTGTAAAAAAAAGTTTTCACTTAATTCATTGAAAGCCCTTTCGTGCTGAGCCCAAGGGGGAGCCTGGGCCAGACCAGACCCTTCACAGCCCTGTTGCTCCCACCCCAGACCCCCAGCGCTGGGAGCAGGGTGGCTTCCCTCCACCCGCTCTGCCCTCCCGCCCCCACTGCATCTTTCTGTACAGAACAATTTTTAAAATGGAAGCTAAGACACAATATACATTGGACAGGCACGCACACACATGTACACACGCGTCCGCTCCAAATGGGCAGGACGTCAGCTGCACTCAGAGAGCACCAAGGAATGCATACGGAGCCCCTCCCGGTGAGGAGGGCAGGGCCTAAGCCCCACCTTGGTCCCCAGTCTGCAGCTCCTCCCCACCAATTGCCCTGCTAGCTGCCAGAGGGGGTAGGGGGGAAAGGGAGGAAGCTGACAGCAGCTGGGGGGTTATGAAGAGGGCAGTGCCAGTCTGGTAGGTGGTCCTGGGGCCAGGGAGGTTGCTCTGGGGGCCCGGAGGGAGAGGACTGAGGTGGACCCCTGGCCTCAGGAACCTGAGGGGTAGAACTCCTGGGCCTTGCCCCTCAAGGAGCTTCAAGGGCCCAGGGTTGGGAGTGGGGCTGGCCCCTGCAGCTTTGGCCTGCCAGCCCCAGACTAGATACACATTTGGTAAAACCTAGGAGCTAGGCTGGCTGAGACCCCCGGCACACCCCCCTCTCAAGCCTCATGGCTGGGAACCAGGTCTGTCCCCCCGATGTCCACACCCCTGGCTCTGGCCCTGGCCTCGGGAGGTGCAGTGAACAGGGCCTGCCCTGAAGGCTTGGTCCCTCCCCTTGGCCCCTTCCAGCTTCCTGCTCGGGCCCCAGGAAGAAGTTAAAACTAGTTAGTTTTCCTACATTAAAAAGAGAAACCTATCCCCTGCCAAAAGGCCGGTGGGCAATGAGGGGACTTTGTCTCTGCAATGGAAAAGGACAGAATGGGCAAGGGGAGGGCTGCAAAAGAGTTTTTTCTTTTAAAAAGTGCTTGGTAAGTCTGTTTTAAAGTGTGTGTCTATATCTACGTACAGATACACACTGTTCACACACTGCTGCCCACGCACACCCGCACGCGCACAGAAATGTATACATATACAGAATCATATACACATACATACATACGTACATACATACATACATACATATATATATACTTTAAAAAGTCCTAGGAAAGATGATCTGAGCCGGGCCGGGGCCAGGCCTGCAGGGTCACGACTGGAGAGTGTGGGCCCGGCTGGGCTGGCAGACGGGGCACTCGCTGCCCTCGGCGCAGAGCTCACACAGCACGGCGTGTTGGCATGGCAGCACCGCTCGGTTCTGCTCCTGACACTTAAGGCATTTCACCGACTGCATGTGGAACACGGCCTGGGGAGGGAGAGGGATCCCGTGGTCACTGGCCCGGCCCCTCTTCACATTCACTTCAATCCCCTTGGGGCAAGGAAACTGAGGCAAAGAGCTCAGCAGCGTGCTCACAGGACTCAGCCGACAAGTGAGAGAGCAAAGCTGGAGCTCAGGCTGCTGCCCTCGAGGCTCCCAAAGTCTGCTTCCGGCCCCACCGGGGAGAGGGGAGGCCCAGGGCTGCTCCACAGCTCCCGCCCTGACAGGCTCTCCCTCCCACAAAGCCCCTGCCTCGTTTGATCCTGCAGTGACCCTCAGTCCCCAAATGAGAACCGTGAGGCCTGGCTACAAATGCCTGGTCAAAGAAGGAACGTACTTTTCTGCTGTGCCATGCTCCCCGGGCATTCAGCCGGGCACCTAGGAATGCCAAGTAGCTCAGGGGACATAACTGTTCTGGAGCGTGTGCTGGTATGTGCAGCGCTCACAGGAGGACAAGCATCTTGATGCCACTGAAGGCCCAGGCCCAGTGACGTAGCTTGGGTCAGCCCTGCCCGAACCGTGGGGGGTGAGCACTGGTACGTCTCCACCTCCACCTTTCTCACCTCCCCAAGGAGTGAATTTCCTCCTACCTCCCCACCTGCAGGCAGCATCCTGTGCCAGCCCAGCAGCTGGGCAGAGGCTCTCGGACGGAAGACGGCTGTCCCTGGAGCGGCACGGACCCGTCAGAGTCCAAGGCCCAGCTAAGGCTGCCACGTGCCCCCACCCAGCGCTCCCCGAACCTCCGGGCTGACCTTGTCCACTTGCTCCAGGTGGGCGCGCAGCTGCTTCTGGAGGGAGTAGAGGGTGGAGAGCGAGAGGGCCTCCAGGTCAGAGAAGGTGGGCAGGGCCTGCAGGTCGGGGCCCGAGTGCAGCCGCTCCAGTTCTTCCTGTAGCTTCTTAACCTGCCCCTCCAGTGCGTCCCGCTGCTCCCGGGCCAGCTCGCACTCAGCACCTGCTGCACTGGCCCGCTCACCGGCCTCCTCCGCCTCCTTCTTCCAGGCATCACAAGCCTGTGGGCCCAACACACAGCGCCTCATCATGATGGCCCCCTGCCCCCGTGTCCCCTGCAAGCACCTCTCTGGGAGCCTGCATGGGCCACTTGTGGCTGCAGGGCCTGCTGGGGAGCTGGGTCAGCTGTCTGGGAAGGGAGGAGGCGGGCACTGCCTGCAGAGAAGAGAGGTGTCAGGGCCTGCAAGAGACCCTCTCTAGGCAGGGAAGGGGGCTGAGCCCAACACAGCAGGGGAGCACCAGGCAGAGCTGGGCATGCTGCTGGCGAGCACCTGCAGGAGCAGCCAGGCTGCAGCTGGACAGAGGAACCATCTCAGAACCTAGAACCCTGGGCCTGGAGCCCTGGGAAATCAGGACTTCTGGGGAGAGGCCAGCGGTGCTGTGTGGCCAAACCAAATAAGCAACTCACAGTGGGAATTCCGGGCCTGGGGCACCAGCCACCCTAGGGTCCTGATTGGGAAGGCAAGTGTCTCCACGGGAGAAGAAAGTGAATAAAACTGAGTTTCTGCTCTGTCCTCCAGGACCCCTGCCCTCCCACCCCTGCGCCTGTTCTGTGTAAGATGGGCTCAGGCTGGATGGGAACCGGCCCTGGGAAGGGCAGTGGGTGCGGGGGCCCAGTACCTGCTTAGCCTGCTTCCAGGACTCCTCCCATTGCTTGATGGTGCCGTTGGCTTCTTCAAGCTCTTGCCGCAGCCGGGCCAGCTCAGCGGCCCCTGGCCCCGACAGGAAGGCAGGGGAAGTGCCTGGGGAGAAGCTACCAGACGCAAAATGCTCCCAGATGCTGCTATTCATCCCGTTCAGACCTGCCTCGGGAAAGGGAAGAACGTTAGAGCTCCGGAGGGCTTCAGGCCTGCGCCCAGGCCCTGGTCCTGTCCAGCCCTCTCTGGGAGGCTTCAAAGGGCTAGCTGTGCAAGGCTTCAGCTATGTCAGGCTGGGGAAACTCAGGGATGTGTAGGGCCCACAGTTGCATCAGACCTACTGCAGTACCACCTGTTACTCAACGTTTGGCACTTAACTTCTGAGGCTCAGCATCCTCATCTGTAAAGTGAGGATCCCATCATTTGCCTCACAGGGTGATTTGGAGGCTTGGGAAGTACTGCAGGAAGAGCAGTCTGTGAAGGAGGCAATTTATGATTGTGAACTGATTTTTCGGCTAGAGGGAGGAGAGCCTTCTTGCACCTTCTGTAAGGCTTGGGAGGAGGTGGAGGGGCAAAAACACAGGCCAGAGCCTCAGATGATGGCACAGCTAGAACAGGAGGAGTTCAGGGAGCCCGGGCTTCATTCCCCTTGTTTTATGATAAAGAAACGAACATACAGTGTGTTGCTAAGAATCACACAAACAGTAGGGGCGTGTGGGTGGCTCAGTCGCTTGGGCGTCTGACTCTTGGTATCGGCTCAGCTCATGATCTCAGGGTCATGGGATCGAGCCCCATGTGGGGCTCTGCACTCAGCAGGGAGCCTGCTTGAGATTCTCTCTCCCTCTGCCCCTTCCTCCATACCCTCTTTCTCTCTCTCAAACAATAAATTTTTTTCCCCAGATTTATTTATTTGAGAGAGAGAGCATGAGCGGGGCTCAAGGGCAGAGGGAGAAGCAGACCCCACAGAGTAGGGAGCACGATGCGGGGGCTTGATCCCAGGACCCTGAGATCATGACCTGAGCCAAAGGCAGATGCTTAACCAAAGAGCCACCCAGGTGCCCCATGAATAAATAAATCTTAAAAAAAAAAAAAAATCACACAAACAGTAAACAGTGGAGCCAATATACAGTCAGAGCATCTGACTCCAAAGGCTTCCTCGTTCCGATGAGCTAAGCTGCGTGCTCCTCCAACTGTACGCTCGCTCAGTCTTTCCACAGATGTTTACTACCACCATGTGCCCTACTCTGTGGCCCCCAGGGCAGCCCCTATCTTCTAGAGGGGCATCCATACCCACGTCTGGCCTCATTCTGCCCACACTTATTCTAATAATTTCTTTCTCACTCCCTTCTCCACTAATCCAGCCAGGATGTTCCAGAACCTGCCAGGAAATACCAGTGCACCCAAAATATGAGAGACATCATCCTGTGTGGAGAGCCTGAGATGTGAACAACCTATGAGCCTATGTGCCCTGTCTCAGAGGTGGGAACTCAGAGCCAACACCAACACCGTCCCAGCAGCAAGCTCTTCCCATGGACCTCTGCTCCACTGAACTCAGGCAGCATCTCCTCTCTTGGAGAGGAGCCGCTTCCTCTCTCGACTGCGTCCCGCTCAGGTCCCCTCTGTTATTCTGAATCACAAACCCAGGCCTTTGCCTCCACACAACAGTGACAGTCCCAAGTACACTCTCATGTCTGTGCTCCTCTGCCTCCCCGACTAGACCATGGCTCCATACCAGCAGGGACTGTTGAGCTCACAGTGTACCTATAACTCTGCTCAGTAACTACATGGAGGAGTGAATGAATGTGCGGCCAGTGAGAAGGGCTACAATCAAGATGCTTCCAGAATACGAGCACGTCAGACAAATGTAACACAAAGCATCTAAACCTGACAGACTCAACATAAAATGGAACAGCCACCTCCAAAACTGGAAAGATGCTAAGAAATCAACACGTTGCCCTATCTCTGGAGTGAGATTAGGGAGCTCCCAACCTGGTCAGAATGTCAAATGTGGCTCAGAGGCTCAGGCTCAGTGTGATCAGGAAGCCCAGCACCCTCAGCAGAGGTTATTCCTTATCTCCTCCAACAGCTGCCAGGAGAGGGGAACTAAGAGTAGAGGCGGCGGTTTGGGTACCGAGCTGTTTTACGTGGTACCTCAGTGAATACTCACACCAGCCCGCCCATGAGAGGGAGGAACCCTGCCCGCAGAGGTGGAGCCTGAGGCTATGACTGAAGTGCCCTCCAGAACCCACAGTCCATACCATTCTAACACCTGTGTTCAGCAAATAGCCTTTGGGGTTACAGCTAGGTCTGCCTGGTGCCTCTCTTTACCAGGAAGGCCACTTTGAGCCTATTCAGATTTTTCCCTTTGCCTCTGGTGAAGCTGGCTGTTGTGAGCCTGCCTGCGAGAGTTCTGGGCGACTGGGCAGAACCAGCACACTGGAATGAACAGCACCTAGGCCCTGGCACTTGAGGCCACTGCTTCTCACTGCACACTGGCCCTGTGCCCAGCACTTCACTCATGTTATTTCATTTAAGCCTCGCTACCGTCTTAGAAGGAAGATGCTGCCATTATACAAATTTTAAAGCAGAGGAAACTAAGAGAGGCTAAGTTGCTTGTCTAGTTTTACCCAGCTAAGAGAAACATGGGACAGGGACCTGACCCACCTCCAAGCCATAAGCCACTTGCTTCAACCTCATTCTGCATTGCCTCTGGCTGTGGACAAAGCACTTTTCAAAAGCCCAGATCCTGCCCCAGGTCTCAGAGACACACACGCTCTCTTACCCAAAGATCCATGTGATGCTGAGGTCCCCAAAAATGTGTTTTCTGACTGGCTCAGGTGGCCCTGGGGCTGCTGCAGGAAATGTGAGGAGAGGCTGACAGGAGGGGACGGGGATGCTGAGTGGAAGGAAGCAGAACTGCCCAAGGAACCAGGGATGTTCACGGGCGCAGAACTCTGCAGCAAACTGCCACCTGGAAGAGAGGCCCCGGAGGGCCAGTAAGGGCAGGGCAAGCGATGCGGAGCCACACCAGCAGGGGGCAGCTCATGTGCCCATCTTGGGCCAGGTTGGACCCCCTACGAGCCCTCCCTCGAGTGCTGCCCGCCCGCTGCCCAGTACCAATTGTGATGCTGCCTGGGTGGGGCACTGTGCTGTTATCGAAAGTCTTCTCTAGGGCGGCCACCCCAAACTCGTTCAGGTCCAGGTCATCCAAGGCAGATTCTGGAGACAGACAGATTGGGGTGTGAGCCTCCTTGCCTCCTGAGAGGCCACACCACCCTGAGGTTCCAGGCCTCGCCCCCAGGACCCACCTGCCCTCTACTGCCTCCTCTTCACGCTCAGTCCCACTAGACCCATGCTCTCGAGCCTCTGCCTGTCGGGCTGCTGCTCTGCCAACACAGACGCCCTGCGCTATCTGCCTCGCCAAGTCCAGCTCAAATGGCGCACTTTTCCGAAATCTTCACTGATACCTCCAAGGAACCCAATGCAGGGTTCCTGACTCTGACAGAGGTCTTGTCTCCTGCTGTTACAGCTCATATCATCCCTGAGTTCTCTGGGGGGCAAGCAAGCCTCTGGGCCCTCAGTGGCTACTGCATAGTAGGTGCTTGACAAATATCCACTGCCCTCTGCTGGACTAGACTGGGAAGCTGGGAACAACAGGAACACCCTGTCTGCGTCTCTTAACATCCCAGTGCTTAAAACACGATCTGGCACAAAGTAGCACCCATAAATGACTGCTGAGAGAGAAGGGCAGTGGCTTCAAATGGCCAGGAACTCTGAGGACAGTTGTGCAGGCTGTTCACTACACAAGGATACCTAGTGAGAAAATGAGTGAGGGCTGAACCACCTATGTCGTGGAATGAGACTGCACTTGTCCAGAGAAAGAGTTATGTCTTTCTAATTTGCACAACAGAGCAAACTGAAGGGCTACTTACTTTCCTGTAAGGGCTAGTCTTGGGCCACACCTTGGGCTCATTTTCCCTTTTCAAAGGGCTCAGAGTGCCCACCCTCTGACTCTCTCAAGATAAATGTCTACTGGTTTGAATCTCACTCCAGGGACCTAGTTTCTCTAACTCCAGATCCAGTCCTGGACTTGGCAACAGAAATGGCCTAATTACCTATGACTGACTCTACCGTGTCGCTGGTGGGATAGAAGGGCAGAGCATTTGCATTCATGCCAGGGACGCTGCTGGTGCCTGCAGGGCTAGGGGGAGTAGCTGCCAGGCTGGAGGTGATACTAGAAGAGATGCTTGAGGTCAGGGGGCTGCCCACGGGAAGGATGCCCAGCATGTCCTGCAACGAAAGAGTGAGGAGGAAGCAATAGGATGCCTGCTCATGGAGGCCATGGCCAGGGGCTAGAGATGGGGGCTGGGAAGGGCAGAAGGAAATGGTGCATTCCAGCTCTCATCCAGATGCCCCCATACCCAGACAGGACCCCACCCACTTGACACCTTGTTGAGAGGCTGGAGTTGGAGAGCTGTGCCTTGCAGGCTGCAGGGCCCACTCACCCTAAGTCCTACAGTAGGGGAAGGGAGAAGTTAAGTCCAGGGCCTAGCACAGTACGACATTCAAGAAATATTGTTTTTGACTGATGAGTGAGTCCAGCAGGTGACAGGTTCCAGGGTTTGACCGGACCCTCTTTGGATTTGGGGCTGGGGCCCCACTTTAGCCCTGCCCTCAGCTTGTGGGGAAAGCAGTGGCGCCACTCCCTGAGGCCGGGGATTCTGGGCCTATCCTATCAACAGCAAGTGCCAGAGGGGGAGACACGGGGCTGAGAGCTATATACCTGTTTGGGCTGAAGCAGAGGCTGCTCTTGACTCCTGGGCTCTAGTGAGTGGGGTTTTAACTTGGCCTGAGAGAGAAAAGTCAAGAGAACAGGAGATGAGTATGGTCCTAGGGAGGGCCCCTGAGTCCAGGAGTCCTCCCAAGCATCAACCTGCCATGGCCCACTAAGGCTGATGGCACCTGTCACGCAATTCCCCTCTGCACCACGTACCCTGCTCTCCACCCCCACCCTTACTCCTTTCCCTACCCTAGGAACCAAGGGAGCTGTTCCTCTTCTCCCTGGTGACTCCAAGCCTCAGGTAAGACCAATTAGAGACCCTCTGCCCTGCTCCCCAAGGCCCTGTCACTCCATCAAGGTGGCACAGGGCAGGGGAAAGACCAGCTATGGGGTCAGAAGACCGAGATAGGAGTCCCTGCTCCTCTATTAACTGGCTCCGTCACAGGGTGAGGTACCTGGCTATGCTAACCTTCCTGTCTTCGCCTATAAAATGGGACGGCCTCACTCCCTCTGCTTAATGTTGCAGAGGCTGAAGACAGGGACCTCCTAGCTCCCAGTCATATTCCCCATCATTGGGCCAAGACAGCCCTCCAGGGCTTCTCCTGACCCATGCAGGGAGAAAGCTAACGTCACTGGGCTTCCCCTTACATCCCTTACCTGGCATTTAAAATTTTTCAGGTACTCAGCTCCCACCTGGTCTTCCCTCTCAAAGCCAGGAGCCTTCTTATAGCTGCCAGGGGCGAGGCCAGACTCCCCAGGGAAGACAATGCCTTCCAGGTTCGGGGGCTTCCTGATGGAGCCCGGGGGGGAGCCACAGAGATTAGATGGGCTTCCTAGATTGCTGTTTCTACAGAGGAGCTGCAGAAAAGAAAGGGAGTGGCTTTGTGGGCAAAATGTGGGCTGGGGCATGGCCCATCCTCCATCCCCTCCACAGAGGGAGATTCTTCAGCAAGGGGCTCAGTTCTATTTTCATCTGTCAATGGGCAGCAACTACCATGCAGGGACCCCGAACCTCAGGAGGAAGTTATGCGGGAGTGTGACAGAAGGCTTGTGTCCCTTCTACCAGCTCTATTCAGGCTGACCCACACAGGCTCTGGGTATACCACCCTCTACCAGATTTTGACAGAAAAACCCTGGGGCAGAAAGAGTAGAACCCCTTGGCCTGAGGCAAAACACCAGGGCCCACCCCAGGCACAGGCTGGGAGGGAACTGGGGGCATTAGAGGCAGGTGTTGACTCCTGGCTAGGCATGGTGCCCACCCACTCCCTGGACAGGCACGTACAGCGCTGAGGTCAGGGGCATGTGGGCTGGAGGGGCTCACGGGCACCGAGTCTCCGGCAGCAGACGGCATGTATAAGACGGGACCCGGCTGAGTGGGGCTCGACACAGCTGAAGAAGGTTGTAGATCGTCACTGAGGGGTGGCTCTGCAAAAGACAGGATCAGGGTGTCAGCAGGCTCCTGTGCCAGCTCTCTCCCTCCAGAAACACACCTGGGTCTTTTTCAAAGGAGACCATGCACCCCCTGTACACAAAGGGAAGGCTCCTACCTTCTTTCTATTAATACTGTATACTGTGCACTTACTTTGTACCTGGCAATTTGTATTAACTGTGAATCTTCACGACTAGAAGCAGCAAATAATATTGTGATCTCCATTTTACAGATAAGAAAACTGAGGCTCAGAGAGGTAAGGTTAATCTCCTTAGGTGGTAGAGCTAGGAAACAAAAGAGCTGGGATTTGAACTCTGATCTGTACTACTCCAAAACCTGAGCCATTAATTACTTCTCTGTGTTGCCTCAAGCAGTGGGCTCAGTTGCCCATGGCTGGGGATGACCTCTGTGCCAATGTATATTCCCCCCTCCCAGGGCCTTCTAATCCCAGAGATAAGGCCTGAGCCTGAAAAGAGGTGAGGGACAATCGGAGCAGTGGCTTGTGGTGGACACGAGTTTTAACTTGAGCTCCATCTCCGAGATGGGCAGTGGTGGTCTAGAGTGCAGTGGAAGAACCGAGAGCCGCGCTGTCCGACGCAGCAGCTATGAGCCCCATGTGGCTATGAGGGGCTGGTCTGAACTGAAACATGCTGCACCTACCTATTCGAGTGTGCAACAGATTTCAAAGACTTCATTTGGAGGGAAAAAAAATAATAATATTGGTTTTTTACACTATTTTTGAAATGATTATCATTTTGTATTGAATTAACTAAAAATATATTGTTAAAATTTATTTTTTTTAAAGATTTTTTTTATTTATTTGAGAGAGAGTGAGAGAGAGAGCACATGAGAGGGGGGAGGGTCAGAGGGAGAAGCAGACTCCCTGCTGAGCAGGGAGCCCGATGCGGGACTCGATCCTGGGACTCCAGGATCATGACCTGAGCCGAAGGCAGTTGCTTAACCAACTGAGCCACCCAGGCACCCCAAAATTTATTTTTTTTTAAACATAATTACTAGAAAATCTAAAATGACATGAAGGTTGCACTATATTTTCACTGGACGGCTCTGCTCTCAGCAGGATGGAGCTCCATGTTTCATTAGTGATGTCTGCCATGGATGTGGCATGGGGTGGCTGCTGAGATCTGCCCAGTTGGCTCCGTGAGGGCACCTCACCTTGCCTGGGACTGTGAATGCCTGACTAGGGGCCCGGTCCTGCTCTCTATCTCACGACCTTGGAAGCTCCAGGGTTTGAGACCATTTCCAGGGGGTTTGTGCAGGGGGGCCAGAGTTTCCAGTGAGGACAGAGACCGCTGCTGGCTGGCAGATGAGAGGCCACTCCTCTGACTGAGCCTGAGCAGAGGGTGAAGGGAGGAGAGGGCAGAGAAACCAATGGGCACAGCATACGTTCTACATGGGCGAAGGCGCAGAAAGGTCCTCGGGGACAGCTGCCCGACTGCTGCATGTCGTTGCACTTGGTGGATTTATAGATCTGGAGGATAGAGCAGAGGCAGGTCAGGCTTAGGCAGAGAGGAACAGGCAGGCATGGGTGCCTTCAACATAGGAAGGTGAGCCTAGTAATCTAACCTTTCTCCTCCCCATTCCATGCCACTTCCCTAAGTCTCTCCCTACTGACTTCTTGATACTCAAACTCCTGCAGCAGATATGGCTACCCCCATGCCAAGGACACCCTCCCTTCTGGGGTCACAGGTTCAACCAGCCCTGCTTCGGCCCTCACAAAGGAATCTTCTTCATGCTGCTTCTCCACTCAGGGTCTTGGCCAGGGCTGTGACCTCCAAATGTCCCTCTGGACATTAAGGAAGCCAAGATCACAGGCAGCACCCACGCACCAGGGGGCACCCTGAGTTGGGATCTATGTCTAACTTTCTACCCTGCTGTCTACAACCCACATAAGGTGGCCTCTGTCCATATGTCTATCTCAGGATGTTTTAGCCTCCATGTACCCATGGACAGCATGTGCCTCTATATACCCTACCAGATCTTGGGACACTGACATGGCCCAAGGCTACACCATGGGGCCAGTGGGCGGAGGAAGTACAACAGGGAGGTTGCTGGTACTCTAAGCTCTGATCTGAAACACCGGGAAGGGGCTTTCTTTTTTAAATCCCCACGTCACTGGATTGTAAGTACCATGAGTGGTACAAAGCCCAGAATGGCCAGGTCACTATGCCCAGTCTATGCCTTCCCTGTCAGGAGGCTGGGGGGAAACAAAATTGGGAGCAGGGGGCTGCTCAGGGACTACGGGCTCAGAACAAGGCAAGTTACCAAATCAGGGTACAGGGCTCCTTTAGACACTGCGTGGATGGCGGCCTCTACCAGGATGGTGTCAGCATGAGTTCTGCCACATCTGCCCAGGTCCTCCTTTCCTTTTTCCTTGCTTCCCCAAAAGGGCACGTTAAGCCACCCACAGACCTCACAGGGCCCCAGCCCCAGGCCAACGCCCACCTCTGGGTGGAACTGCTGCTCCGTGCGGGTGTGGCAGTACTGGCAGGCATCTCCGTTCTCACACTTGCCAGGGTCTCCCCACTCATCCCCATGTTTTACGTTCGGACACGGAGATGACCTGGTCCAATCAGATGGCAGGGTCAGAGCGACGCAGGAGAGGGAGAGATTAGGAGCTGGGGAATGCCAACTAGAGGCCTGTTCAGGATCCCTCTCTGGTCTCCCTGCTTCACAGGGCCAGGCTCACAAAGAGAAAAGATGAGCTACAGAGAGCCTTAATGGAGCCAGAAGCCAGGCTCTGCTTCTGTGGTGCAGCATGGCTGTTATCAGCAAGAAGGACACTTTCTGTCCCCTTCTGCCAGGTCCTCATGCCAAGTATTTTGCAGCTCCAGGAGAGCCAGGCTATAGCCAGAACCATACTTCCCACACGATGGCTTGGCCCCGGCAGTTGTCCCTCAGGATCAGAACTGGGGTGGGTCTTAGAGATGATCTGACCCAAGACCCTCATTTCATAGCAGAGGAGGATCCCAGAGGACTCCCCATCATTCAGCTTATCCTGCTATTCCCCCCCCCTTATACCTGGGCCCTGCAACCCTGTAATCCCCAGGGCTGGCCTCCCGGCCTCCCTGCGAGCACACTGGAAGCAGCCCCCGCCACAATCCCTTCCCTGCCACCCCTCCCGCCCATGACTGGCCTGCCTGGGCCAAAGGACCTGTATTTGTGTTTCCGGGGGCTCCGCCGCCGGTCCTTGCTGTTGTGGTAGTAGGGACAGGCATAACCCTGGCGGCACAACCTCGGGGGCTTCTTGCACGGCTCCGTCTTATAGTTCCCCAGCACATAAGCAGTCTCTACACAAGGGGGCCAGAGGCAGGGGTCAGGCAGGTGGGGCAGGAGAAGCCACTTGGGAAAGGGTCCAGGAGCTCCGGCCACCTCCTCATGTGCCAATGCCAAGACTGAGACCCAGCAGAGAGGTTAAGAACACCATCCCTCACTGGAGACACTCAAGGCTCACAGGATCAAAAAGGGCAACCTCAGGAGGGTCAAGAACACCTTTATATAAACATACCTAAGGGCAAAACGTGTCTGGGGAATGTCCCCAGAAGTGCCCCCAAATGAAAGGACTGTGGTTGGATGTAAGGTGGGATGAAGAAGTGGTGGTGAGCCAAATCCTTAGGGCAGCTATGGGCAGGAGAGGAGAGAGGACAAACATCTGGCAGAGGAGGCACAGCCATTTGTGGGGCCACCTTTACCTTGCCACCGTGGCTCCTCACTGAGGATTTTTTCTATCATGGCATGGCTCGCAGCCCCAGCCGTCTGGCCCTCTATGCTGCCCTCTACTGTGGTCTGGCCGTTCTGCAAGGCCTCCATGGCCTGGAGCTCTCTGGGAGGAAAGGAGAGGACAGAGAGCGGGGACGGGGCATGAGAGGGGAAGCAGAGTGCCAGCCCCTGCACTCCATCTATGGCAGTCCCCGTGTCAACAGCCAGGCCCCCACCCTGGCCTACAGCCATCAGCCCAGCATGGCATCCAGCCCACCTGATGTCGTAGACAGGGGAACGGAGGTCATGGGGCCCGTGGGCAAAAGCACAGTGCAGGCCGTTTTTGGTGCAGTTGCCTTTTGAGTCTGTCTCGTGGATACAGATTCCAGTTTTGTAGTAGCGCAGGTGGTACCTGCGCTCAGTGTCCCCTGTGGTCCTGTGCAGGAATGGGCACCTGAAACGTTGCGGGGGGGGTGTCACTCACCTTTGCCCCTGAAGCCTGGGCAATCAGCCCCTGCCCTCCCCTCCCGTCCCTATTGAAGGCTTTCCCCATGACCCACATGGTGTGCTGACTGAGGAGGCCAGCAGTGATGGGCCCTGCTGCGGTAACAGACCCCCCCCTCCCACCACCTGTTGGATGCTGTAGCTTGATGGGGGCCCACCAGGGCCCAGGATTCCCACTTCAGCCTGCTCAGCAAGTCCTCTCAGAGGCTACTTGGCCAGGGCCCTGGGCTGACTTGAAGAGAAGCTCCAGAGGGGGGCACACTCCTGGGAGCGCAAGTGCTGGCTGGATCTGCAGGGGTCCACAGAGAAACGGCCTGCTCAAAGCATGGGCGTACCCTCTCATGCCCCAGTGCCTTATTAGGCTGGGGTCAGGGGCCTCAGGGGGTGGGAGGGAATAAGCCTTGTACCTCTGGGAGAAGTGTGTGCAGGGATGGTTCAGTGAGTTGTACCCACAGACCCCCAGCAGTGCTTCCCATTACCACCTCTGCAAGGCTCAAACAAGCAGGGTCAACAAATGCTCCCTCTCAGTGATGTCCCCAGGCTTGCCTTTTCTTCTACTTAGCAGAAGAAAAGCCTGTGTAGGGTTTCCCAAAAGTGTGTAAAGAAGAAGGGGCCTCTCCCAAAGGATGGTGGGGTCTGAGCCCAGGTCCAGGCCACAGGAAGGCAGGCCAGGCTGCAACAGTACTCCCAAAAGCAGCCTCTGGTTGGCTTCTCAGACTCTGCCTGGCCTATTCTGAGGGCATGTGACTCAGGAGACATGAGGCTCCCCTGAGAGCAGGCTGCAGGGAGGGGAGGGGGAGTACTCACTCGTCGCCCTCCGGGCAGAGGCCTGTGGCCTCGTCGTACTTGGTGCAGTAGACGTCGGGGCTGTAGTTGAAGGTGCCGTCCCGACGGCGGATGGACCGGCGACGTCTCTGGTTCACGAAGTGCCAGTGGAAGCAGGTGTAGGGCCGGTGCTGAGTGCATTTGTGTTGCACAAAGAGTGGGCACTGCTCCGTGCGGAATTCCTTCAGGTACCTGCAGGGAGAGCCCCCACGCAGGGTGGGCCAGGAGCAGAGACTTAAGCCCCTTGCTTCCCAGCATGAAATTAGCCACCAAGTCCTCTGAGGGCCCTACTCTGAGGTGCTAGTTCCATTAGGACACCAGAAGAGGCCCAGAGCTAAGGGTGGACCTCAGCATCCAGACCCTTCCCGGTACCCAGATCCCAAGCCAGCCTGAAGAGCAAGAACCGTAGACCTCAGCAGTCAGCTGTCTGCCATGGCAGCCGGTGGAGGGCTTAACCAGTGGCTTAGTTCTGAGCCCTCCCTGAGGTTTCCCAGGCCAAACAGCTGATCACAGGCAAAGGGCTGCAAACAAGAGCATGAGGAACCTCTCCCAAACTCCTGGAGGGTCCTCTGCTGCCCAGGTCTGCCTGCCAATCCCTGGGGGTCTCAGTTCCAGGAGCAGGGCTGGGGCTCCAGGCTGTGGGCTGGGGAGGCTGCTGCTTTGGAACTGAAAGCCCAAGTCACAAGGCGTTCCTCTGAACTACTGAGTCAGAAAATTATTGTCCGACTTCCTCCCAGAGACACTTCCTAGCACTACACAGGTTAGTGCCTGGGAAGGAGCTCCTTTTACAGAAGCATCTGAAGAGACTCTCCCTCCCAGCCTTGCCTGCCCCCAGTGGTCTCACAACTGCATACCTGCAGCAGCTGGGGCTGTTTACGTCCTGCCTAACCTGGGGATTTGGGGGCACTGTCCTTCTGGCCTCCTCCCAACCTTTGTCCCTCTACTCTGCATGTAATAGCCAAGAGACCCCAACACAGCACTCTCCCATGAACCACCCAGTGGAGGGCCCCAGACCCACTTACCCCCTTACAGAACATGCCATCCGTGTTTTTGCTCACTCTATGTGTCCAGGTGGAGGGTGTCTTAGACTTGGGAGCCCCTACACAGCAGGGACAGGCAGGCAGCGCAGTTCTCTTTATTCATTCCCTTAAGCCCTAACAGTGCAGGCAACAAATGGCTCAACAGAGGGCATTTGATGCCAGCAATGAGGATGATTCCAGAAGGCACAGAAGAGCGTGTGCAGAAGGGGGCAAAGAGGGAACAACCACCTGACCTGAAGTAACTGTCCGGGCTTGGAGCAGCACCTGAAGCTAGAAGGCATGGGCCAAAAGTGAGAGGATGTAGCTCATGCCAGGATACTTGAGGCCTTACTAGTCTGGGCATATACAAGGTGTAGGGACAGGTAGGTTGAGGGCTGAGACTTTCCAGACAAGTTTTCTTTACTGCTAATGAAAAGTGCTAAAAAAAATCCTCTCCACCTTAAAGTATGGAGAAGTGTCCAGGTGTATGTACGGGCCAAGGGGAGCTAGAGCTGGGTGCTCCCTGAGGAATACAAATAAAGGTTTAAGGGGCAGTGAAACTTCCAAACAGAGTCTGCTGTTCATTCAGCACATATTTATTGAGCCTCTACCAAGTGCAGGCACAGTGGCAGGCACTGAGGACCCTAATGAAGAAGCACGTCCTTGCCCTTGGAAGCCCATACTTTCATGGGAGAGACATAAAAGTAACAGGCAGAATCAATCAAGTGTGGAAAAGGTTATAAAGGAGGTTTGCTGAGGGTTCCTTGGGAACCCAGAGCATGGGGCCCAGGCTGGGAGAGGAAGGGAAATGAGGAGGTGCTGGTGGGTGGAAGAATGGGGAAGGATGTTTTAGGCAAAGGGCTAAGTATGAACTTAGTATGTCTAGGTCCAAGAGTTCCAAGTACTTTTGTGGGATGTGAGTGGGGTACAGAGGAACTGGAAAGGGGAAAGCAGGATAAGGTGAGGTGCAGGAGGAGCCAAACTGCAGGGACATCACCTCTGCGTCCCAGGTACATTTGGAGACACCAGGCAGAAATCTAGAAGTCTCCCTAGGGCCTGATGTTCTCCTGTCCCTTTTGGCACTGGAACACAGGGTCTTTCCGTCTGGTTAGACAGAAAGCTGTACCTCGTGCTGCACACATGTCCCAAACCCTGGCACTGAGATGGGACACCCATCCTCCAAACTACTAGGCGGATCCCTCCTGGGCAGCACAGACTCCCTCTGACTCTGGACCCACTAGGAGACTAACTCAGGAGGTAAGAGGTGGAAAATGGGAGAGGAGGAAGCAGAGTCCAGAGCCAGGAGCAGAGAAGATTGAACAGTGGTTAGGATTGTCAGATTAAACATGGGACACCCAGTTAAATCGGAATTTCAGATAAACCAAGTATTTCATGGGGCATACTGATAATAAAAATGTATCCATTATTTGAAATTCCAATCTAACTGGCATCCTGTATTTTTATTTGTTAAATCTGCCAACTCTGAGTGGTGCCTGTTTGCTTGGTATCAGTGCCTCAGTAAAAAAAACCAGGAGGCAGCCAGGGGAAGTCACCCTGACTTCGGGCATAGTCTGTTCTCTTGGAGAAGGAGCGTCTCGGCAAGCCTGCTTGCTTGGAGCAGCCATGTCCACAGTGCCACACGCAAATACCAGGGCTCCACAAGGACTCTGGCTGGCAGGGATGCCACAGAGGAGGACAGACATCAGGCAACAAATTATCTCACTTTAAGTCGTAGGTCAGGGACTTGGTACTTTGCTTCCAGTCTCTCCCTTGTCCAATTTATACTACACTGCACTTGTTTATTCTTCCTAGAGCCCAAATTTAATTCTCACTTTCTTAAAAGTCTTTAGCTTCCCCCAGTAGCTCCAGATAAGCACCAACCATTCTGCCTGGCATTCCAGGCCCTAAACATCTAGCCCAATACTTTTTTTCCAGCCTTAATTCCCTTGATTCCTCTCCATTCCAGCTGCTAAAACTGGAGTCCTTGTTGACTTGCAAATAGATCTTTAACTTCCCTTTGTTTATGTCCGCTTCCTTACTTGTAGAAATCTTTCGAGGCTGAATTCAATGGTAATAAATCTGATGCCACCACCTCCACGTTGCCTTCCTTGACTTCCACCCATCCTCCCCTTTCTGCCCTTGCCCCTAGTTAAAAGATAATCTCTAAGTTTTGCCAGCATGTTCTCTAGACATTTTTATAGCCTTTATCCTGCAATGCATATTAATAATCTGTACATTTTTCTCTACTACTAGATTATAAAATCCTTGACAGCAAGTAAGAACTGAATACAGTTTGCTGAATGATTATAAGAAATGAAGTCACAGTAGGGCAAAGCCCACAAAGCAATACTGACAGTTTTATGATGCCACCAGCAGGCAGAGCATTGAGAGGTGAAAGCCTAATCCCTATTCCTTGTGAAAAGTACCACACAGCAGGAAACCTGTAACTCAGCAGATAGGGCAGAGTGTCCTGCAGAAAAGCCCCTCATGAGAGAAGGGGCTGAGTGACCAAATTTACGCAAGCAGAGAGCCCACTTTTAACCAACTGCAATCAGAGGAGAGAAATTTCTACCTTTTGCTAAAATCATGAATGGAACTGTACCATCTGCTACCTAGGAACCAAAATGTTCAGAATTTCCCATTCTCCCTCTTCCACTTGACCCTCTGCTAACAGGCAATACAGTGCCCAGAAGGCGAGGACAAAACCACTTAGAAATCACTTTCTATTTTCATGGATTGAAATTCAACAAATTTTCAGTGGACAGGCACAACTGTCACTGTTAAGCTCCAATCCATCGCTTTCATCTTAAGGCTTTGAAAGTTCATGATTTAAGAAACTAAATAGGTTGAAATTCACTCTTTAATTCAACCAGGTCTCAGGAAACCCAAGAAGTCCTGGGGTCTGAGGAGGGAAAACACACCAACTACTCACTCCCCCCCCCCCTCCAAACTCTGGGGAAGGCACAAGGGCCACACAACTAAGTTCTTCACACTCCCATCTCCCAGGAATACCTGCACTCAAGAATAGAAGCCAGTAACATAGAATAGTTTCAGACTGCAAGGCCTTGGTGAGCTACTATGGCCAGAATGAGTCCAGAAACCACAGAGGCCCTGGGCAAGTAAGAGCTCTGTCAGAGAAAGCCACGCCTTCAACCGGAAGAAGGGATGGATACTTGATTGCTCAGAGTTTCTTCACCTTTACTAAGCAGCGCCTTCATGTCTGCCCCACGGCTGAGCTTAAACCAAAGCTACCTTTCACTCCTTTTCAGGACATCACATTAATTATCCTAGCAATGGTTTATTTGTAAATGTAAAAGATTATTATGAAAGTCACACGCCCACTTACAAAAATTTTGAAAAATGAAGAAAAGGGCAGAATCGCCCTTAATCCCGTCACTAATGTTAGTGTTTTGGTAAATTTTCTCTTGGTATTTTTACAGAGATATAATCATAATGTACCTATCATATTGCTAAACTGCTTTACATAACTATTAACTTTTCCCTAAAAACTTTTAAAATCAAGTATATGCAACCACATTTAAAAAAAATCAAATGAACTTTCAACATTTATTGGATTATTTTTATTTTCCAACACTCAACAGCAAAAAGCAGGCTATTGGAAATCTAAATTCAATCACTTGCCCCACTAACAGTGATAGCACATAAGGGATTAACAATAAATTCAGTAAGTTACATCACCCTGAAGGAGGTGTTAAATCAAGTTCTAAACTGCTACCAGTTCAATTTCCAGCTAAACTTTAAATCCTATTCCAAGCTGTCTTACTTAAAAGATTTATCAGTTTGGGTGTTTCACTCTCTTCTGGGGAGAAGTGTGAAGAGAATTTAAACAAACTGAATGAACAGAAAAGTATCAGAGCTAACAGAAAAACTAAGGTTAGAGGCAATGGGGAGAAAGGAGCTGGTATTCTAATCTGTATCTAGTCCCCCACGGATTCCAGAATAGTGTCACATGACCTCACTCTGACTCCACCTGCCCTGCTGCCACTTCCCCAACAACAAACCAGACTCTAGAGCAGGGTTGGCAAACTTTTCCTATAAAGGACCAGTTAGTATTTTAGACTTTGAGGGCCAAGAGGCCAAATTGAGAATAATATGTACTTACAGAACAAAACAAACGTCCACATTTTTTTTAATTGATGAAATTCAAAATCTAGTAATTGGCTACAATTTTTGTAGAGGTTCTACTAATAAGATCAGATTTGGGGGATGGGATAACATTTTTTTTTTAAGATTTTATTTATGCATTTTACAGGCAGAGACGCAGCGAGAGAGGGAACACAAGCAGGGGAGCGGGAGAGAGAGAAGCAGGTTCCCCACCGAGCAGGGAGCCCAATGCGGGGCTCGATCCCAGGACCCTGGGATCATGACCTGAGCCCAAGGCAGATGCTTAACGACTGAGCCACCCAGGCGCCCTGGGATAACATTTGTAAAGGTCAGGTCCCTTTCATCAAATTGATTACAAATGTTCATCTGTTCATGCAGATTCTATAATCAAATTTTACAGATTTCATCTTTGAAAATGTCTTTCACATCTTTGAAAATGATAGGTACTGCCAAATGCTGTTATCATTCCACAAGCATGATTTTAATTGAGCACATTCTTCTCTTAGAAGACATCTATAGAATTCTATTAGTCTTGATAGTTGCCTTTTAATCGCTTCCAATTGAAGATTTGGAGTGGTATAAACTCCTTAGTTGCACAGGTAAATAGATTTGAAATAAGGAAATTTCTTTTGCATTCACATCAAGCAGCAAAATCACTACTAGAACTGTAGTTTGTGTTTAGAAATCATATCCACAGTAACTTTGTGTAGGAATGGAGTCTTGCCTTTAATTTTATTTTGTTAATCACCATACATCATTAGTTTTTGATTCAGTGTTCCACGATTCATTGTTTGCATATAACACCCAGTGCACCATTCAACACATGCCCTCTTTAATACCCAACACCAGACTAACCCCCCCAACCCCCCTCCCCTCTAGAACCCTGTTTGTTTCTCAGGGTCCATAGTCTCTCATGGTTTGTCTCCCCGTTTTAACTTTTGACAGGACACAGGAAGTGTATAAAGTAGTTTGACACGGGGCGCCTGGGTGGCTCAGTCGTTAAGTGTCTGCCTTCAGCTCAGGTCATGATCCCAGGGTCCTGGGATCAAGCCCCGCATCGGGCTTCCTGCTCGGCAGGGAGCCTGCTTCTCCCTCTCCCACTCCCCCTGCTGTATTCCTCCTCTCGCTCGCTGTCAAATAAATAAAATCTTAAAAAAAAAAAAAAA